GGTGGTCTTACTGGGCCTCTGTGGCCGCGCCTCATCCGGGGCGGTGTGCTGGGCCTGTGACCTCTGCGGCCGCACTCCGGTCCGGGGCGTGGTGTGCTGGGCCTGGTGGACCTTTGGGAAGGGGCTGTGGCTCGTCTTGTGTGTGCTGGGCCTGTGACTCCTGGAAGGGGCCGTGCTCAGCCCGGCGTGTGTGTGCTGGGCCTGTGACCTCCGGAAGGGCCGTGGCTTGTCCGGGGCGCGGTGCTGGGCTGTGACCTCTGCGGCCGCGGTCGTCTGGCATGTGTACTGGGCCTGTGACCTCTGCGGCCGCGCCCATCCGGCACGTGCTGGGCCTGTGACTCCTCTGAGAAGGGCCGTGCTCGTCCGGCATGTGTGTGCTGGCCTGTGACTCCTCTGGAAGGGCCGTGCTCGTCCAGCGTGTGTTCTGGGCCTGTGGACCTCTGGAAGGGGTCAGTGGCTGGCCCGGCACGTGTGCTGGGCCTGTGACCTCTGGAAGGGGCTGTGCCTGGCCCGGCATGTGTGCTGGGCCTGTGACCTCTGGAAGGGGCCGTGCTCGTCCAGCGTGTGTTCTGGGCCTGTGACCTCTGGGAAGGGGCTGTGCTCAGCCCGGCGTGGTGGCGGCTTTCCAGACTCCCTGCGGCCGCATTGGCCCAGCGTGTGTGCTGGGCTCAGGACTCTGCGGCCGCGCCGTCCGCGGTGTGCTGGGCCTGTGACCCCGCGGCCGCGCCGTCCGGCGTGGTGTGCTGACCCAGACCTCTGCGGCCGCCGCCTGGCCCGGCGTGTGTGCGGCTCAGACCTCTGCGGCCGCGGTCAGTCTCGCGTGTGTGCTGGGCCTGTGACTCCTGCGCCGCGCCGTCTGGCGTGTGTGCTGGGCCTGTGACCCTGGAAGGCCGCTCGTCCAGCGTGTGCTGGCCTGTGACTGGAAGGGGGCTTGCTCGTCCGGCGTGTGTGCTGGGCCTGTGACTCTGGAAGGGGCCGTGGCTCGTCTCGCGTGTGTTCTGGGCCTGTGACTCCTGGAAGGCCGTGCTCGGTCCGGCGCGGTGTGCTGGCCTGTGACTCCTGCGGCCACGCTGTCCGGCGCGTGTGCTAGGCCTGTGACTCTGGAAGGGGCCATGCTTGTCCAGTGTGTGTTCTGGCCTGTGACTTGGAAGGGGCTGTGGTTTGCCTGGGCGCGTGTGCTGGGCCTGTGACCTCTGCTGGGCCTCTGCAGCCGTGCTCGTCCGGCTTGTGTGCTGGGCCTGTGACCTCTGGAAGGGGCCGTGCTCATCCGGCGTGTGTGTTGGGCCTGTGACCTCTGCGGCCGTGCTCGCCCAGCGTGTGCTGCATTTGACTCCTCTGGAAGGGCAGTCAGGGTTTTGTCTAGGTTCCCTCCGGAGCAGGAGGAGGGTTTGGGGCACCCGTCCCTTTGGGTGAGGGAAGGGTGGTAAGGCGTGGTGGGGGTGGAGAGGTGGGTGGAGGAGGGGGTGGCGGGTCCTGTAGGGGCAGAGGGCAGCGATTCCTGCAGGATGGGCAGGCGGGTCCCTGGGGGCACAGGCAGTGCAGGGCTGGGAGCTGGATCTGGGAGGTGTGGGTGCTGGTGGTGGTACTGATGATGCAGGAGGGGGTCTGGTCTGAGTGCTCTGTGTCAGATTTGGGCCCAATTACGTACTCCAATTGCTGCCACCACCTAATGGGCCGGTCCTTGGTTTGGGGCTCAGAGCCTCGAGCCTGGGGTGATGGGGTCCCGGCTTGTGCCTGGATGGCCTGGTCCTGTCCTTCTGCCTCCGCGGCCAAAAGTCTGAGAAGTCTCCCCAGAGGCCAGACGCTGGGGCTTCCCTCTTCTTCCCCGGGAGCCTGGGAGATGCTGGGCCTCTATTCTCTTCTCCGGGGCCGTGAGCTTAGCCTTTGGGGAGTCCCTCCCTCTCCACGGTGCTCCCCTAGGCTCTCCTACAGGACAGTGAAGCTGTGAGCGGAGGGGTCCTCTTCCCACCAGGCACCACGCCAATGCTGACCTCCGCTTCCCAACTCTCCAACCCTCCAGGCACTGCAGCCAACACTGACCTGTGCTCCCCAAACCCTCCAAACCCTCCAGGCACTGTGGCCAGCGCTGACCTGTGCTCCCCAAACCCTCCAAACCCTCCAGGCACTGTGGCCAGCGCTGACCTGTGCTCCCCAAACCCTCCAAACCCTCCAGGCACTGTGGCCAGCGCTGACCTCTGCTTCCCGAACCCTCCAGCCTCTGTGAGCAACGCTGACCTGTGCTCCCTAAATAGCTCTGCACACCGAGGACTTGTTTTTCCCTTTTTGATCCGTGGCAGCTCGTGTCACAGCCGCGAGGCTTGTCTGCCCAGGGAGGAGCCGTGGGTTGGAGTAACTGTGACCACAGCATGGTGGAGTCAGGTGTGGGCTCGGAGCAGGGACACACCATGTCTGTCAGCTGGTCATAGCCTGAAAGGTCAGGGTCTTTTGTTTGCAAGGGGCAGAAAACAAGTCTAGAGTGCTGTGAGTAATGGGCTTACAAACCTGGAAGTCCAAGGGGCTTCAGGCACAGCTGGATCCAGGTGCTCACATTGTGTGTCTTCAGGTCTCTTCCCCATCCCTCAGTGCTGCCTTCCTTATTGTGATCTCATCTTCAGGCAGGTTTTCCTGTGCCCACCCATCCTCCTGCCAGTGCCCCAGGCCTGCCTCCTCCTCGTTGACAACCTTCGTGGGAAGGGGGTGCCTTATTCCTGGTAGTTCCAGCAGAGGTTCCGGGGCCACCACTTGCTGGCCATGGTTGGCCAGCCTTGATCCCATGAGCACCCCCACACCCCCAGACTGGAAAGGAAACTGTGAGGCTGAGACAGGAGGGGTGGGTCTCGACACGTGCTGTGATGCTCCGAAGCTCCAGTGACAAGGGGGCATGTCTGGACTGGAGAGATGCCCCCCCCAGGATGCCTGTGCCTGTGTCCAGTGTCTCGGCCCAGCGTCTCGGCCCAGCAGGTCAGGGGGGCATGTCCAGGCTGGAGGGACCCCCTCAGGATGCCGAGAGCGCCCCGGCCCAGCGTCTTGGCCCAGCAGGTTGGGGGGGGGTGTGTCCGGGCTGGAGGGACCCCTCCAGGATGCCTGTGCCCAGTGTCTTGGCCCAGCAGGTTGGGGGGGGCATATCCAGGCTAGAGGGATCCCCAGGATGCCCATGCCTGTGCCCAGCGCCCCGGCCCAGTGCCCCCGCCCAGCACCCCGGCCCAGCGTCTCGGCCCTGCAGGTCCAGGCATCCAAGGACTATTGCCTCGGTGGGAATGGGGAGAGGGGAGCCGGGACAGTGCCCCAGAACCCAGGCTGGACTGCAGCACTGCTTCGGGGACAGAGGGCAGGAGATCCTGAGTGTGGGGACTCTCCCACCTGGATGTGGGCGCCGGGGAAGGGCTCGGGTTTGAGACACAGGAGGGCCCCACAGGCTCCGTGGCGGCCGTGCGGTGCTGCCGGGTGTGCAAGGTAATGGCGAGTGTGAAGACAGCACAGTGCGCGGACACGGGGAAGCAGCTGCTCTGTGGCTCTGTCCCCGCCGCTCCTGATTCTGAGCACGGTTGGAACGAGAGGCAGCAACACGGTCGAGGTGAAGGCGTCTCTCCCACTGACTGGAATGAGGGCGTGTCCCACACGTGGCCTCCTTTATGGCTGTGACCAAGGACCTGGATGCTGGACACGTCCCCTTCACATCCCAGAACACCTGCGAAAAATGTAAACGGGACAAAGCGTTTGCTTCCCGCGAAGTGGGTTTCTCTCTGGTGTGTGTCCAGTGACTTCAGCACGCCGGAGCTGGCTTTCCTGCCAAAGCGGCAGCTTGAGGCTCTGGGTGGCACAGCTTTGCTCCCAGGAAGAGCTGGGAGATCTGCTATGTCTCTTCTACGTGGGTGGCCACAAGCCGGGTTCCCGCAGCAGGGTCTTCAGGGGCTGGCGGGCTCCTCCCGTCTGCAGCTTTCTGGGGTGGGCAAGGGAGCAAGCATAGCAGAGCTGCTTGTGTCAGAGGAGGATGCAGGGCTGAGGAGAAGTCATGCATTTGGGCCAAGCATGGTGGCTCACGCCTGTAATCCCAGCCCTTTTGGGGGCCGAGGCGGGAGGATTACTTGAGCCCAGGCGTTCGAGACCAGCCCGGCCAATATGATGAAACCCCATCTCCACTAAAAAATACAAAAATTAGCCTGGTTTGGTGGCACATGCCTGTAATCCCAGCTCCCCTGGAGGCTGAGGCAGGAGAATCACTTGAACCTGGGAGGCGGAGCTTGCAGTGAGCCGAGATCGGGCCATTTCACTCCAGCCTGCGTGACAAGTGAAACTCTATCTCAAAACAAAACAAAACAAAACAAACAAAAAACATGCATTTGGGAGAATTTTGGTGGGGCGTGAACTTGAGCATCTGAGGGGAAGTTGAAGAAGGATCAGTGAGTGAGGTAATCGCGTGGGACGTGGATGGGAAGAGCAATCACGGTGGAAGTCACTGGTGGGAGGAGGCGCCTGCAACCCAGGAGGAAGGAGAAACTGAGCCTCCTGGCAGCCAGGACGAGGCTGGAAAGGTGGTGATCCCAGGAGCTCTTGTTGCTTGGCTCCGGATTTAACTGGCAGAGAAGCCCTCTGCATTGGGGTCTGGAGGAGGTGGCTGAGAGCGAGGAGCAGGGAAGGTTGATCCGGTGCCTTCTGCCCCAGGGGTTTTGCTTGTTCCTGTGTTTGCAGCCGTTGATGGTGGGCCTTGCTGTTCCCATTTGACTCTGAGAGTTTTGGAGACGCTGCCGAAGGATGAGGCTACCAGGCTGAAACCCGACAGAGGGGTCGGGGGCCAGAGTGGAGAGGGGGTGCATCCTGGAGGGGGCAGCTGCACACGGTGCCACTGTGGAGTTTGGGGTCCCGGGAGGTGGCTGTGGGGGTGCCCTCTGGCCCGAGTGGACTCTGGTGGGGCGGGTGGGGAGTGGGGTGCTGCATTCTGGAGACGCAGCCATACTGGTGCCCTGCTGTGGCCTGGCTGAGCACGCGTTCCCTGCCCCTAGGTTCCTCCTGGTTTTCTCCTGCCTCGTGCTGTCTGTGTTTTCCACCATCAAGGAGTATGAGAAGAGCTCAGAGGGGGCCCTCTACATCCTGGTGAGCCCCGCGAGAGGGTGGGGGCTGGAGGGGCCCAGGAAGGAGCCAGAGCTGCCTGGGCATCTGTCCCTCATTCCTGTTACTCCAGGGCCTCTGATGCCCCCAACCCTGGCTTCCTGTAAAGGCCTCCCCCACCGCCACCACGCGATGCCTCTCCCCTGCCCTGCTCCCTCCAGCCCTGTCCCAGCCCCCGCAGCCCCAGCTCTGGCCATGTCTTTGTGCTCTGTCAGCTCCCACCTGCCCCCAGTCCCACAGCCCCGGCTGTGCCCCAGCCCCACCCTGGCTGTAACTCAGCCCTCACCTCACTCCTCATGGTGACCTCACAGTGGCTGACAGCCCCGCCTCCATCACCCCACCCTGGGCAGGTCCACCCTCCCTCCTTCCCTCCCTTTCCCTCCCCACTTTATCTATCTCTGGAGCCAGAGCTGTGGGGTGTCCCCAGCAGACGGCAGACGTGGGCGTCGGGGTGGGGGCTGTGACGCTTGCAGCAACCCTGTGCCAGGGCAGGGTGGGCACCATGGCAACGGGAGTGCAGTTCCTGTGTTGCTGTTGGTAACGGGGTAGGGGGCCCTCGAGGAGACTGATCCCCATCCGAATGCACCCCCCTCTACTGCCCAACCTGCCCCTCTGTCCTGGGGCTGCCCAAGGTCTGGGTGGAGGCTGTGACCCCCTTTGTAGTTACCTGGGGCCTTCCCTCAGCTCAGCCCTGCTGTGCACTCCCAACTCAGACAGGGCAGGCCCCCCACTGGCTCAGACAGGGCCCCCCAATTCAGACAGGGCCCCCAGCTCAGACAGGGTCCCCCAGCTCAGACAGGCCTCCCAGCTCAGACAGGGCCCCCCAGCTCAGACAGGGCCCCCCAGTTCAGACAGGCCCCCCAGCTCAGACAGGGCCCCCCAGCTCAGACAGGGCCCCCCAGCTCAGACAGGGTTCCCTAGGCCAGATAGAGCCCCCAGCTCAGGGCCACCCCCTACAGCTCAGACAGGGTCCCCTAGCCCAGATAGACAGTGCAGACAGGGAGGTGGGGAGGGTGGCCCCGTGGTGTTCGTACTCAGCTGTGTTCCTGGATGCACGGTCTCCAGAGGGCCCAACCCTTGCTGCCTAGAGGCTGGAGAGGAGTGGGAGCCCTGTGTGGGTCAGTCCAAGCTTGCAGTTTCCTTTGGGGGCCTCCTGTCCTGCAGCTTGGTCCCTGGGCCAGAACTGCCCCTGTGGGGGGCCAGGCTGGGCCCCCAGGGCCTCCCCCAGGCCTCGAGGTGGCCTCAGCTTTCCTCGCCTGCAGGAAATCGTGACTATCGTGGTGTTTGGCGTGGAGTACTTCGTGCGGATCTGGGCCGCAGGCTGCTGCTGCCGGTACCGTGGCTGGAGGGGGCGGCTCAAGTTTGCCCGGAAGCCATTCTGTGTGATTGGTGAGGCCTGGTGGGGGCGGCATTGCTGGAATCGGGGCCAGGGACCCAGGGACGGACTCAGCACTGGGGGGAGCTGGGGCTAGGTCTACGTGGGCCAGAGAGGCTGGGCAGGACTGGCTCCTTCTGGAAGTTTCTTCTCACCTGCTGACTTGGAGTCAGAGCCTGTGGTTAACCCGGCCTAAATGTCAGGAAGAGGGATGTTGTGCCGGGCTGCCCGTCCCGGGCCCTGCAGGCAGGTGGACGATAGTCATGTCCTTCCTGGGTCCTGACAGAGCCCACACCAGGCGCTGGGCATACACCTTCCCGCCCCTCTGCACAGCCTCCTGGAACCTGGGGTGGGGGTTTCTCCATGCGGGTGCAGGGGGCGGCCCACCAGCTCACCAGTCTGTGCCCGCTTTGTAGACATCATGGTGCTCATCGCCTCCATTGCGGTGCTGGCCGCCGGCTCCCAGGGCAATGTCTTTGCCACATCTGCGCTGCGGAGCCTGCGCTTCCTGCAGATTCTACGGATGATCCGCATGGACCGGCGGGGAGGCACCTGGAAGCTACTGGGCTCTGTGGTCTATGCCCACAGCAAGGTGAGTCATGGCGCCAAGGCTGGCGGTGGGTGCCCCCAGCCAGCAAGGGTCCTGGCCCAGACTGGGCCCCACCACTGCCTGGGGTTTGCTCCGGGAGCCCTGGCTGGAGGGATGGAGGTCAGTGGTGGCTCTGGCTGGAGCCCATCAGGTGTGAACGAGCCTCCCTCTCCTTTCTTCTCAGTGCTTCTCCCCATGGCTTGGTCCATCTTTGTCGTCTCTCTCCAGAAAGCTGCTTTTTCGAAAGGCCAGGCTGTTTTGGCCCCTGCCACCCCCCCACTTCCTGCCGCGAACCCTTGGCTCTGTGGCTGGGCGTCTTCTTTCCTGGGTTTTTAGTGCCTGGATCAATACATCGCGCTAGTCACCTGCCTGGTGGTTGTTTAAGCTGTGGCTTGTGGCGGCTGCTGGCCGGAGAACCCACGGGGTGGCTGTAGGCACACATGCTGAGTTCCAGGGGCCCCAGGCCCCCCAGTGCCCGAGACCCCCTCCTGCCAGACCGTGCTGTCTGTCCACCTGCTCACGAGACCCCCTCCTGCCAGACCGTGCTGTCTGTCTGTCCATCCTGCTCACGGGTGGGCTCATTTGCTCAAATGGACCCTCCGCATTTTCTTCCCTCTTGAGCCCTGCCAGGGTGGTGGTTTTGGCTGCAGAACAGGCAGGGGTCAGCCCCCAGTGGCCCCCTTCCCTCCCTGGATGCTGTGGGGGTTGAGTGCTGACTGCAGTGGGCGCTCTTTTCACATCTGTGCCTGGAGGCTCAGAGAGATTGGGGGAGGGTCTCAACAGTCCCAAGATTCTCCAGCCCTGCTGGCTGCCAGAATAGATGCTGCTGACCCTATAGGAAGTGGTGGGCCAGCCATGTGAGCTGCTGTTGCCCAGGCCAGGAGGCACAGGGGAAGGGGCTGCTGTAGCTAAGATGGTGAAGCCAGTGGCCCCTCCGGGTTCCCCTGTGCCAGCCCTGCCACCAACCCTGGCATGGAGCCTCTGCTGGCCTCAGAATGGTCCAGCCCCCATATCCCTGGAGACAGAGCCCAAAGTGGGATGGCTGGTGAGGCTGCAGTGCTCCTGGAGGCAGGTGGCAGGTGGTGATGGTGGTGGTGGTGATGGTGGTGGTGGTGATGGCGATGGTGGTGGTGATGGCGGTGGTGGTGATGGTGGTGATGGTGATGGTGGTGATGGTGGTGGTGGTGATGGTGGTGGTGGTGATGGGTGGTGATGGTGGTGGTGGTGATGGTGGTGGTGGTGATGGCAATGGTGGTGGTGATGGCGGTGGTGGTGATGGTGGTGATGGTGATGGTGGTGATGGTAGGTGTGATGGTGGTAGGTGGTGGTGGTGATGGTGATGGTGGTGGTGGTGATGGCGGCGGTGATGGTGGTGGTGGTGGTGGTGAGGTGATGGTGGTGGTGGTGATGGTGGTGATGGTAGGATGCGAGATGGTGGTGATGGCGGTGGTGGTGCGGTGTGATGTAATGATGATGATGGTGATGGTGATGAATGTGGTGGTGGTGGTGGTGGTGATGGTGATGGTGATGGTAGTGATGGTGGTGTTGGTGGTGGTGATGGTGGTGGTGGTGGTGTGGTGGTGGTGGTGGTAGGTGGTGGTGCGATGTTGATGGTGGTGGTGGTGGCAATGGTGGTGGTGGTGGTGGTGGTGTGGTGGTGCTGATGGTGGTGGTGGTGGTGGTGATGCTGGTGGTGGTGATGGTGGTGATGGTGGTGGTGGTGATGGTGGTGGTGGTGGTGGTGGGTGGTGGTGATGGTGGTGGTGATGGTGGTGGTGGTGGTGGTGGTAGTGATGATGGTGGTGGTGGTGGTAGCTGGTGGTGATGCTGATGGTGCTGGTGGTGATGCTTGATGGTGATGGTGGTGGTGATAGTGGTGGCGGTGCAGGATGCTGATGGTGGTGGTGACAGGTGGTGGTGCTCGGCGGCGCATAGTGCGTGTGCGCAATGCCTACTTCCGGTGATGGTGGTGTGGGTGATGGTGGTGGTGGTGGTGGTGGTGATGATGGTGGTGGTGGTGGTGGTGCTGGTGGTGATGCTGATGGTGGTGCTGGTGGTGATGCTGATGGTGATGGTGGTGGTGGTGGTGGTGATAGTGGTGGTGGTGGTGTGGTGATGCTGATGGTGGTGGTGATGGTGGTGGTGCTCATGGTGGTGATGGTGGTGGTGGTGGTGGTGGTGATGCTGATGGTGGTAGTGGTGATGGTGGTGGTGGTGGTGGTGATAGTGGTGGTGGTGGTGGTGTGGTGATGGTGGTAGTGGTGATGGTGGTGGTGGTGATGATGGTGGTGGTGGTGGTGGTGGTGGTGATGGTGATGGTGGTGGTGGTGGTGGTGGTGGTGCTGGTGGTGGTGGTGATGGTGGTGCTGGTGGTGGTGGTGGTGTGATGGCAGTTGGTGGTGATGGTGGTGGTGCTGATGCAGATGGTGGTGAGGGTGGTGGTGGTGGTGGTGATGGTGATGGTGGTGATGGTGATGGTGGTGGTGATGGTGGTGGTGGTGGTGGTGGTGATGGTGCTGGTGGTGATGGTGGTGGTGCTGATGCAGATGCAGGTGATGGTGGTGGTGGTGCTTGGTGGAAAAAGGTGGTGGTGGTGCTGGTGGTGGTGGTGGTGTGATGGTGGTGGTGGTGATGGTGATGTGATGGTGGTGATGATGGTGGCACCTCTCACCTCTCAGAGCTGGTCACCGCCTGGTACATTACGGCTTCCCTCTGTCTCATCCTGGCCTCGCTCCCTGGTGTGTATCTTGGCAGAGATGTGGAGAATACTCACTCTTGACAGCCCATGGATGCACCTGGTGGGGCCTGGGTGAGTTGTGGTCATTGTGGCTTTCCCTTCCCCTGCTGGGTCCCACCTGCCCAGCCGAGGACATGCCCCTGTCACTGTGCTGGGACCAGGCTGTCACTGGCTGAGCCAGCTCCATACATCTCTTTGGGGCCACCTGCTGGCCGCCGCCCGCCGCCGCGATAGCCTCGTGGTTGAGGCGGTGGCAGTTGCCACGCCTGGTGGAGAGCAGGTGGGGGAGGGCTGGGCCCTGGTGGCCTGAGCTCAGCTGTGGTGGGCAATCATCCTTCCTCCTCCCTGAGTGATCTCCACCCGGCTCCAGCCACCTGCTCTGTGTCCTGATCGTTGGGGGAAGGGGGAGAAGAGGCGTCTTTAGGAGATCTGTCCTGGGCAACCCTGGTCCAGGGACCAACCCCGTGACCTGGTGGCTGTGGGGGTAGGTGAGTGGGAGGCTTTGCCCTCTGTGCCCATGGCTGGCTGCCACCATCCTGGGCCTTCCTGTCCCTGGCTCCCACCCCTGGCCCTGCCCCTCAGGGTGAGAGAGGAGAGAATTTGAAGGGCAGCCAATCCTCTGGGCCCAGCTTAGCCTCCAGCCTGTCTGTCCGGGGTGGTCTGGAGCCTGTGGGTCTGTGGCCCCTCTACTGGTCACCCCCTCCCTGGCCTCCCTGCTGCCGGGACCCCAGCCCACTTTCTTGGCCACCTGTCACTGTGCTGTGGCCGGGCTTCTCTCGGAGCAAGTCACCCCTGTCGAGAGGGTTCCTGGAAGCCTTCTGAAGGACCCCCTGGAGTGGGGTGGACGTGGGATCTCCGAGGCCCTGTGTTTTTGGAGACCAGGTGGCTCCGCAGGCCCCACTCTGATCAGGTCTGAACAGATCTGGGCCCTGGGCTCCTCCTCACCTGGGGCCACAGACACCCTCAGGCTGGTGGTGTGCAGGGGCAGGGTCTGTGGTCTCCTGGGAGGCTGAGACCAGACCCCAGGCCCAGCCCCGCACACGCTGGCTGAGTGGGCTCAGCCCTGCGGGAAAGGTGTGGGCAGCTCCACCTGGTGCCTAAGCTGGATGCAGCTGATCTGAAGTTATTTTATTAATTTCATGAGACCCAGGCGCTGTCTTCCCAGGCAGGGCTTGGGTGGGGGTTGAGAGCCGAGCGTGCCCCCGGGCCCAGGCTGTGGACCAGGCAGACGACCTGGACTCACTGAGCCATCGTGTGGTTCAGGCCCCACCGTAGGGTCAGCGTGAGGCCCAGGGCATCCTGAGCTGTGACTGCCGGGCCCTTGGTCTTTCAGTGGGGACAAGCCCATCCCCCAGGTCTTTTGTGGGCAAGTCTTCTTATCTTTACGATTGAATTGAGGTTTTTATTTGGGTGTTTTTTCTGAGTAATGCTTGTGTATATTTTTAAATGTCAGACAGTTCGTAAGCCTTATGGTGAGAATACAGCCCCGCTCTGTGGTCACGGTGCCCTCCCCGCTGGGTCCCTCTGCCGCGGCTGCGGCTGCTTCTGTGTTTTTCTTTGGGGTTTACCTGATTAGTCTTAAACAGCAAATAGGGATGCTGGTATTTCTGATTCAAACATGCTAACTGTGTACGTCCTACTGGGTAGGATGAGATCTACCCCCAATTTCCCTTTCTTGCAGCCTTTGGGGGTCCTCACCAGTGTGGGGGGAATCCCGCCCTCACCTCCCCCGCAGGCCAGGCCCCATCTGCCAGGCCTCCAGCTTCCTTTCCCTTGAGTTGGCGCCTACTTTGAAGGAGCAGGTTGGATGGCAGCTGGGAACATTTCAGGGGCAGAAATTTTCGGAGAGCTGTGTGTGACAGTGTCCCATCCATGTGACCTCCCTGGGGAGGGTGGAGGGCCTGGCCCCCTTTTACAGACTTGGCCCTCAGGGGGACCCGGGCTTGGAAGCTGCTCTGGGATTCTCTGGCTTCTTTTGACTCCCCTGTCCCCCACAACATTCTAGCTAGGGTCCATGTCTCGCTGCCCCGCCCATCTCTCTGCCATCTCTCTCTCTCTCTCTCTCTTTTTTTTTGAGGCAGGATCTTGCTCTATCATCCAAGCTGGAGTGCAGTGGTGCAGTCAAAGCTCACTGCAGACTCAACCTCTCGGGCTCAAGTGATTCTTCTGCCTCACCCTCCTGAGTAGCTGGGATTACAGGTGTGCACCACCACACCTGGCTAATTTTTGTAGTTTTAGTAGAGACAGGGTTTCACCATGTTGGCCAGGCTGGTCTTGAACTCCTGGGCTCAAGCAATCCACCGGCCTTGGCCTCCCAAAGTGCTGGGATTACAGGCGTGAGCCACTGTGCCCGGCCCACATCTGTCTGTCTGTCTGTCTCTATGTCTGCCTCTGTCTCTCTGCCTCTATCTCTCTATCTCTCTGTCTCCATCTCTCTGTCTCTGTCTCCATCTCTCTGTCTGTATCTCTGTCTTAGTCCCCATCCTCTCCCTCTTGGTTTTCGGCCTCCCCACTTAGCCCTTGCTGTCATGTGGTTGAGTTGAGAATGTCAATAGTCACTGTTTCATGTCTTCCAAAACATGCCTCTTGGCTGGGCGCGGTGGCTCAGCCTGTAATCCCAGCACTTTGGGAGGCCGAGGCCGGCAGATCATGAGGTCAGGAGATTGAGACCATCCTGGCTAACACGGTGAAACCCCGTCTCTACTAAAAAAATACAAAAAAACTAGCTGGGCAAGGTGGCGGGCGCCTGTAGTCCCAGCTACTCGGGAGGCTGAGGCAGGAGAATGGCATGAACCCGGGAGGCGGAGCTTGCAGTGAGCTGAGATCCGGCCACTGCAGTCCAGCCTGGGCGACAGAGCGAGATTCCGTCTCAAAATAAAAAACAAAAAACAAACCAAAAAAAAAAAAAAGCCTCCTTTGGTAAAGAAATTGTGTAGAGGGCTGAGGTCCTGGCTTGGTCTCCCCAGGAGAGGTTTCTGGTCCAGGCCTCGCCCAACCTCCCGCCCACTCCATGTGGCAGCCTCCTTCCCAGAGCCTTCTGTGCACTCCGCATGATGGCGGCAGCCGGGGCCCCCAAGTGCTGGTGCTGTTTCGCGCCAGGGCATAGCTTCCTTCAGTGTGGAGCGGGCGCGGCCCAGCCGGCCCACCCTGTCCTCAGAACACACAGCGGCGTCCTCAGAGCCTGGGGTAAACTCCCCAGGGTGGGGCTGCGGGTCCTGGTGAGAGGTCTCCCCTTCCCGGCCCCACTGTCTGTGCTCAGGCCTCGACCCCTCCCTCTGTTTGTCTAAGACCCTGCCCTCCCAGGGCCTGTCCCGGGCCCACCTTCTCGTCCAAAGAGCGGCCTCCGTGCGGTTGTCCTGAGCCCCCTGGCTTGTGGGGCATGCGGTTCTGGCAAGGGGGGGGGGTGGGCTGCGGCCCCCACATGTCCAGCACTGAGTGCAGGGCACCTGCCCCGCCTTCCTCGACCCCGGCACAGGTGTCTCTTGTCAGAGCCGCATGGAGACGTGTCTGTCCTTTGCTTCCCCTCACCCAGGCTCCGAGCTGGGTGCTCCTGGGCTCTCTGGGACCCCTGGGGAGGCCCAACCTGGCCTGACCGCCCCCTTGCCCACCACCCCTAGAGAAACTCTAAACACAACCCCTGGGGTCCCTGCTCCAGGAGCAGCCATCCTGCCATGGCCCGGTGGGGACCACTCCCCTGCCTCTCATCATGGCCTCCTCCCGCCACCCCTCTCCTCTGGCCTCAGCTCAGGTCAGGCTCAGCGAGCCCCCTGCACGCCCCACCTGTTCCTCTGGGTCCCTCTCGGCACTCCCTCCTCCCCAGCTGCGCTCTCCACCCGGTGGGGATGGGTGGGGGCTGCCGTCCTAGCCGAGCCTCGTGGGAGTCACGTCACTGGGCCTCTGGTTCTCGATGTGAGATGGGGACACAGCCTTTGGCTGGACCCTGCTTCTGGCCTGTAGGGGAAGAGGAGAGAGGGCTCCGGGGATGAAGGGCGGCCGACCCCAACCCTGGCCTCACTGGGCCCCTGTGTGGGTGGTGACATGGGGGTGGTACCACATCTGTCCCAACCCAAGCCCTGAGCCGCCTGCGGGCATCTAGCCTGCCCTCAGGGGTGTGAGCAGGCCCTTCATGTGACCGGAGCCTGTGGTCCCACAGATCACGCTGACCACCATTGGCTACGGGGACAAGTACCCCCAGACCTGGAACGGCAGGCTCCTGGCGGCAACCTTCACCCTCATCGGTGTCTCCTTCTTCGCGCTTCCTGCAGTAAGTCCAGCTGCCCTGCCTGCCTTGGAGGGGGATGAGGTCTTGTAGGCTCCCGAGGTGACCACAGGCCCCTGGGCGCAGTTCCCTGGGTGGGACCTGGAGCAGGAGCGGCTCCCAGCAAGTCCATAGCCCCCAGGAGCTGGAGGTGGCAACTCAGGGTCAGAGGCCTTGTTCCCCGAGGCCTGGAGTGGGGGGTTCTCCAGCCCCAGCAGGAGCATGCCCAGGGCTGTGGCTGTAGCTTCAGGGGCTCTGTCACTGGTGGCCCCTCTTAGTCTGAGTGGGGCCCAGCAGGACGTCCCTGTGACCAGGGGCAGGGCGGCTGGTGACACAGCTCCTTTGTGGGTCTGCAGGCAGTGAGGCCCACCCAGTTCAGAGGAAGGTGGAGGGGCCCTGCCAACCTTTGTTGCCCCCAGGGCAGGGCAGGGCAGGGCAGCTGGTGCACAGCGAGAGGCTGGCCCGGGTGGTTCCTTCACTGTGTGCCCTTCAAGATGGGTGTGCAGACTCTTCCGGGTGGAGCGGAAGAGAGGCCACCCTGAGTTCAGCGTGGGCCCCGCCAGGTCTCCTGCAAGCCAGTGGGTTCTTTCCTCTTGGTGCTGATGGATTGTGGGGACTCGGGTCCCTGGATGCAGTCTGACCCTGATGAAGGTGGGGGAGGTATGGATCAGTGGAGACGGGTCTGACCCTGGTGAAGGTGGGGGACATGGGTTCCCAGGGCGTGGTCTGACCCTGATGAATTGGGGTGTGGGGGTCCCTGGGGTGTGGCCTGACCCTGACGAATTGCAGGGCATCTTGGGGTCTGGCTTTGCCCTGAAGGTTCAGGAGCAGCACCGGCAGAAGCACTTTGAGAAGAGGCGGAACCCGGCCGCAGGCCTGATCCAGGTGAGTCCAGGCGTCCCCTGGGGACCAGCGCAGCCCTCGTCCTGGTCCCACCTTGTCCAGGAGTAGAGGCCGCCAGGGCCTTGGCATTGCCCTATCTGCGGATGGGGCCACAGCCCTCACCCTCTGCGGGAATGTGTGGAAGGAGCCAGGATGCGAGTGTGTGTGTTGAGAAATGGCTCCGACCCCTGAGGCTGCACAGGGTGGTTTGTGTGAAGACGCTGCTGGGGTGGCCCTTGCCTTGTGTGGGCGCTGGGGCCCAGCCATCAGGTCCTCTCCACCGCACCCTGGGGGGCGAATGCACCCATTCGGAAGCTGCAGGGCTGAGGCTCCCAGAGCCCACATGCTGCAGCGAGTCAGTGCCTGACCCCGTCTGACCCCTGATGCTGGCTGTAGGCCCCGATGATGCCCGCCCGGACCCCACCCAGCCCCATCCCACCATTTGGGGGTAGGTAGGGTGCAGTGACCACTCTGGCATCCACAAGTAATTCCTGAGCCACCTTGAAAATATGGACAGACAATGGCTGGGCACAGTGGCTCACGCCTGTAATCCCAGCACTTTTGGGAGGCCGAGGTGGTAGGATCACGAGGTCAGGAAATCAAGACCATCCTGGCCAACATGGTGAAACCCCATCTCTCCTGAAAATACAAAAATTAGCCGGGTGTGGTGGCGTGCACCTGTAGTCCCAGCTACTTGGGAGGCTGAAGCAGGAGAATCGCTTGAACCAGGGAGGCGGAGGTTGCAGTGAGCGGAGATCACACCACAGTACTCCAACCTGGTAACAGAGTGAGACTCCATCTCAAAAAAATAAAAAAGAAAAAAAAAGAAAATATGGACAGACTGCAGGACCCCCTTGGGACCAGCCATTCTTACAGTTCTTCCCCAAAGTCTTCCATCCACTGGACCCTCAGAACTGACCAGGTCCCTGCCAGCTGGATGTGGCTATAGGCTCTCTCCTGTCTCAGACAGCAGATCTTGAGATGGAGATAAGCCTGGGTTACACCAGGTGGGCCCTAAATGCAATGATGACATGCATCCTTATAAGAAGGAGATTTGACACAGAGGAGGGGAAAGCAGTGTGACCAGAGGCGGAGACTGGAGACATGGCCACAAGCGTGGAGTGTCGGTGGCCACGGCAGGCGATGTGCCTCTCGTGGTCTTGGTTCTGGGCCCAGCCCACCTTAAGGTGTGTGTATTTATCTTCCACTATAGAAACTACAAACAGCCATTTATTTTCATGCAAAAGATTATAAAGAAGAACAAAAATGCCCCCAAATCTCATTCCACTGTTGATGGTTTAAAAAGTGACCACGTACATGTGGTGAAAAGGTTAAAACAGTGCCAGAAAGGCAGCACCTGAGCACCGAGGGTCCCGTGCGCCATGCTCCCCTCGAAGGTCACTCTTAACAGCAGCTGGTGCACATTTCCAGAGCACCGTTGGGCCTCTCCACGGGCACACCTCAGGGGTCCTGCAGCCATGGTTCCAGACCACTATAATAGAGATACGGCAATAAAGTGAGTCACATGAATTTCGTGGTTTCCCAGTGCATGTGGAAGTTATGTTTACAGGCTGGGCACTGTGGCTCCCACCTGTAATCCCAGCACTTTGGGAGGCCGAGGTGGGCAGATCTCTTGAGGGCAGGAGTTCGAGACCAGCCTGGCCAACATGGTGAAATCCCGTCTCTACTAAAAATACAAAAAAATTAGCCGGGCATGGTGGCTCATGCCTGTAATCCCAGCTACTGAGGAGGCTGAGGCAGCAGAATTGCTTGAACCCGGGAGACGGAGGTTGCAGTGAGCCAAGATCACGCCATTGCACTCCAGCCTGGGCAACAGCGTGAGACTCTGTCTCAAAAAAAAAAGTTATGTTTACACCATGCTGTAGCCTACTAAGTGTGCAGTAGCATTATGTCTAAAAACCAGTAAAGCGCTGCACGTACCTTCACTTACAAATACTTAATTGCTAAAATATACTAACAATCACCTGAGCCTTCCGCGAGTTGTGATCTTTGTGCCGGCAGAGGGTCTCGCCTCGATGCCGGTGGCCACTGCTGATGAGGTGGGGCTGCTGAAGGCTGGGGTGGTTGTGGCGATTTCTTAAAATAAGGCAAGAATGAGGTTTGCCGCATCGATTCACTCTTCCTTTCACGAAAGATTTCTCTGTGGCATGCGATGCTGTTGGATAGCATTTTACCCACAGTGGAACTGCTTTCAGCCTCGTAGTCAGTCCTCCCAGACGCTGCCACTGCTTTACCAACTAAGTTTATTTAACCTTCTGAATCCTTCTTGTCATTTCAACACTGTTCACAGCATCTTCACCTGGAGTAGATTCTGTCGACAAAAAACAAAACAAAACAAAACAAAAAACAAAAAACAGAAAAAATACCTCCAAACGTGTCCAATGTGTTTGGGAATTAGAAGAAAGGATTATAACCAGAGATGAACCACTGTGGCCGGAGGGTGGGGAGCTCTCATCCAGAGATGAACCAGTGTGGCCGGCTGCCCGTGTGCCGGAGGAGGAGGGGCAGGGAAGCTCTCCCTGGCTGAGAAGTTCACATAAGCTGCTTGGAAACAGAGTTCACTGGCTCTGGAGGCTGAAAACCGGAGTTGGCATCCGTTCACTGGTGGAGATGCCGCTGCTGGGCCAGCGTTCCTCCTACGGCATCTCGTCTGGATTGCTGCAGTCCTGACAAGGAATTCCTTGTGGGGTGCACCGCCATACCTGGCTAATTTTTTTTTTTTTTTAAAGGAGAGGCAGCGTTTTGCCATGTTTCCCAGGCTGGTCTTGACTCCTGGGCTCAGACGATCCACCTGCCTCAGCCTCCAAGGTGCGGCGAGCCTCGGCGCCTGGCCAGGGTGGCTAACGTGTTAACAAATGGAAAACCAAGTGTAGGATGTGTGGAAACTGGGCCCCCTGCTGGTAGGAATGTAACGATGCGGCCACCCGGGAAAGCAGTTTGGTTGTTTCTCAGAAAGTTCGGAAACGTGGGGTTACCGCGTAGCCCAGCCGTTCTACAGACCTTCAACCAACACGTGCACACAAATGTCACAGCAGTACCACTCATAGGAACCAAAAAGTGGACACGGCTGAAATGTCTATTAATGGATGAACGGAATATGATTTATCCATATGATCCTCCCATGAGGAGGAGCGGGCGCTGCCCCTTGCTACAACGAGGATGGGCCTCGGGGATGTCACGCTCAGCGGAGGGAGTCGGGCAGGGAAGGCCGTGCAGCTTGCGATGTCCTTGGCAGGAAATGCCCAGGGCGGGGAAGTCCGTGGAGCCCGGTACACCCTGGTGGTGGCCAGGGCCTGGGGGACCAGGGAACCAGGAGTGCCTGCTGGACGTAGGGGGTAGTAGGGGGTTTCTTTGGGGGCGACGAAGAAGTGTGGAGTTAGATAGGGGCAGTGGTCACGCAGCACTGCGTGTGCAGGTGCCACTGAAGCGCACACTTTAAAATGGCTAAAATGGTGAACTTTAGGATATGTCTATTTCAGCACCGCAAAACGAAACAAAACAAAGGCATAGAGAATGGAAATCCAGCCAGGCAAGGTTCAGTCTAACCCGCAGGCTCATGCTCCGAGCCAGGCTGAGTCCCCGCCCTGGGAGGATGGAGGTTGGGGTCCCTGGACCTACCCGTACCCCCAGCGCCTCAGGTTGCCCAGGGCCCAACAGGGAGGGCAGGAAGGTTAACACCCAGGACAGGTGATAACCGCCAGGGGCCAGGCGAGAGTCATGGAAAGGAAAGAACGCAGCCTCCCTGCGAACTATCTGAGGGCCCCGAGTCAAGCCCTGACCACTCCCCAACTTCAGGCCCCACCGTCTGACAAGCGGTCTTGCCTGTCTGTCCAGCAGGGGGTAAACTGAGGCTGTGGGGCTGATGCAGCACTGGGGCCCGGCCTGCTGGCCCAGAGTCCTGAGTGCCGGGCTGACAGCATGGGAGTCCCAGGTCCTCTCTGCCCCATTGCCTCCATGCCTGGCCCTCCTGGGCGCTCCCCTCACCATCTGCCCCTCACCAACCGCCTCGTCTCTCCCTCCGCAGTCGGCCTGGAGATTCTACGCCACCAACCTCTCACGCACAGACCTGCACTCCACGTGGCAGTACTACGAGCGCACGGTCACCGTGCCCATGTACAGGTACCACCGCCGGGCACCTGCCACCACGCATCTGTTTCGTTTTTTGTTTTCCATTTGTTCTTAAACCCCACTTTTTGTTGTTCATTATTTTGATTGATTTTTTTTCTTTAAAATGTATGTATTTTTCACAAAGAAGTTCTGTGTGTGGTTTATTTCGAGGCATTGATTCTGCCCTTTGTGTTAGAGCTGCGGCTTTCTTTTCACTTTCATTTCCTCCCCCGTTGCTTTATCGTCCTGGCCATGGGTCATGCTGTGTTGTGTGCGTTGCAAGGACACTCCCCAGGGAGCCTGACAGCTCTCCCCGGGCGGCTCTGGACCAGCAGCTTGAGGTGCCCAGGCTTCATGAGTGGAACCAGCACTGTGACCCTGTCCCCCACCAAGGACCTAGGGCTCCTGCGTGGGGGGCAGGAAAGTAACCCTGGATCACAGTGAGGCTTTCGGACCAGGAGACTCAAATTATCCTGGGGGTCCCAGGTGTCCCCCAACAGGACAGAGCACACAGACAACCTTGGAGCCCCTCGGGCAGCAGAGAAGGGGGCCTAAAAAGTGCCAGTCGAGGCAGTGCCAGCAGGTCCTGTGAGCCTGTGTGGTTGGAGGGCAGCTTTCCCGTGCTTTTTTGTTTTACAAAAGGGCAGGTGGCAGCCAGTTGGGATTTTCAGTGCCTGGCCCTTGCTTAAATTAAGGTCTGAGATGAGGGGTTCCGAGGGCCTTTCTCCTGGTCCACGTGGGCCTGACCCCTCGAGTCCGTCTATGTGGGCACCACCCTGCCCGCCCGCCCGCCCTCTGCTCTGAGGTGGGGAACGGAGCCCGGGGACTTCCCAACTCAGGCGCCCTCCTCACCTGCTCCTAGGGGGTTTCTGTTCCCTGGAGTCTTCCCTGAGGGTGGGGCCTTCCCTGAGGGTGGGGCCTTCCCTGAGGGTGGAGCCTTCCTTCCCTGAGGGTGGAGCCTTCCTTCCCTGAGGGTGGGACCTTCCCTTTGGGTGGAGCCTTCCCTGTGGGTGGGATCTTCCTTCCCTGAGGTGGGGCGCTGTGGGTGGAGCCTTCCCTGAGGGTGGGGCCTTCCAGAGGGGTGGAGCCTTCCTTCCCTGAGGTGGGAGCCTTCCCAGAGGTGGAGCCTTCCTTCCTGAGGGTGGAGCCTTCCCTTTGGAGTGGAGCCTTCCCTGTGGGTGGAGTCTTCCTTCCCTGAGGTGGTGCCTTCCCTGAGGGTGGAGCCTTCCTTCCCCTGAGGGTGGGGCCTTCCCTGTGGTGGAGCCTTTACAGGGGTGGAGCCTTCCTTCCCCTGAGGTGGAAGCTTCCCTGATTCCCTGAGGGTGGAGCCTTCCTTCCCTGAGGGTGGGGCCTTCCCTGAGCCTGGAGTCTTCCCTGTGGGTGGAGCCTTCCCTGAGGGTGGAGTCATCCCTGTGGGTGGGGCCTTCCCTGAGGGTGAAGTTATCCCTGTGGGTGGGGCCTTCCCTGTGGGTGAGGCCTTCCCTGAGGGTGGAGCCTTCCCTGAGGGTGAAGTCATCCCTGTGGGTGGGACCTTCCCTGTGGGTGGAGCCTTCCCTGAGGGTGGGGCAGGTGCACATCGTGGATGGGACTTCTAGGCTGGGTTGGGGCCCAGGATTCTTCTTGAGGATCCTGAGTTGGCAAGGGTGGACAGACTCGTGGCCATCCTCAGCTGCTACCTGCCTTTTCAGGGTGTCACTTGGGAGGAGGGTGCCAGAGCCCTTGGTGGTCCTTGATGTTTACAGTTGCCCTCCGGGGTCTGCCCCGACCCCTCCCTCAGCACCATCCCCCCTGCACCTCCTGGAAGCCCAGCCTTAGGAGCCTGGCCCTGCCCGTCTTTCCTAGGAATGTTGGCCATGCCCCTGTTTCTGCAAAGCGGCCTCTCTCAGCCCAGGGCGGGGACAGAAGCAGCCCTTGTGCTAATTTTCTTTGTTCTATTGTTTCCCCTACTTTCCTCGACTATTTGTTTCATTTTCTTTTTCTTATCCCGTTCTTTTTGAAATTTTCCGTTCTTTTCCCTTTGTGTGTGTGGAAACACTTGAAAGTTCGCAAACTCAAACCTACGGGGCCTCCAGGTAGGAAATGCATGGACAGAAGCCCTGTGTGTGTGTGGTTCTCATTCTGTGTCTGGAACTGTGACCAGGCAAGCCCCCGGAGCCCCAGAGCCCACCCGGTGTGTAGAGTGACCACTGCCCCCGCCCACCGAGCATCCCTGCACCCCCTGCCCTGCGTGGCCCCATGCTGGGCGGGCCGATCACCCTGGGCCCTCCCCTGCCTGGAGCCCACATGCCAACCCTGCCCTCCCTGGAGCCCATGTGTCAACCCTGCCCTCCCCGGGCCCATCCACCCTTCTCACCATGTCCCTGCCCCCAGCCGCTGCTTCCTGTTGCCAGCCCGCCTGTGTCCCCTGTGGTCTTGTCCTGTCCTGCTTCCGGCCTGGCTCCCCTCGTGCCTCCATCCCCACCCCACGGGCCCCATCTGTGAGCAGAGCAGGAATGGTGGATGGGGGCTTCCCCCACCCTGGCGCTGGGCACCCATCTGGGGCCAAAGGTGCTCCCAGGCCAGGACCCCCAGACCGGCCATGGTCCTTGTCCCACCGTGGCTCACAGGGTGGCCTCTGTGGGCAGCTCACCTCAGGGGTCTGCTTCAGGGTCTTCTGCCCTGGACTCAAGTTTCTCCTGAGTCTTGCCCTGGCATCACAGGGGAACCCCAAGGCTCTGGGCCGTCCCACCCCTGTGCGTTCCCCACTGCTGAGAGCGGGAAACAGGGCTGTTTGTTCAGACTGGAGGGCACTGAGCCGCTATGGGAAGCCTCATCCCTGTACAGCATGAAGGGCCTCTCCCTGTCGGGTGGGCAAGCTTGTGCTCTGTGACAGCACCGCCCTGCAGAGCCTGGGGCCAGCCGCTCCCCACATAGACTGGGAGGGCTTCCTGCACAGAAGCCCTTGATGACTCCTCCGGGGGCCAGTCACCCATCCTGGAGGAGAGACCTGGCCACCCTTCCTGGGAACTGTTAGAATGTTGATCCTCTATTCCCAGAAGGGAAGTGGGTGCGATGCTGGGCAGTGGTGAGTCCTGGGCACCTCTGCCCCCGACATGCTCAGCCATAAGACATCTCCAGTGTCTGCAGAGGCCCTGCCGCCCCTGGGGCCAGGTGGCTGGCACTGAAGCCGGCTGCCCCCTCCCCAGCCTCTGCTCTCTCCCAGGGCCGCCCCCTCCCCTTGTTGCATCCTTGTCCACAGCCCCGTCCTGCCCTGGCCATGCTGCCCACCTGTCTGCCCTGGCACTGCTGCTCTGTGTGTTCGAGGCATGGCCTCCTGTGTGGCTCTGAGGGCTGACGTGTGTGTCTCTCATCTGGGCCTGTGTGCGTGTGGGTCCCGCCAAGGAGAGGTGGGGAGCCACCTGTGGCCCCCGGACAGACTCCAGCCAGCCTGGGCTCTGCTGCGCCCACAACACCAGCTCACCAGTCGCCTGGGTTCCTGCTCTGACCTGGACAGCGGACTGCCCTCTGGAGGGAGGGGGCTCACAGGAGCCCCACTCCTGCCAGCATTTTGGGGGGCACCTCTGGGGCTGCAGAGGGAACAAAGAGGCTGTGGACGGGATGGCAGGGCCTGGGAGCAGAGGCTGAGGAGGCGGAGGGGTGGGGACAGGTGGGTCAGGGAGGCGGGTGGGGCAGAGGCTCCCGAGGAGGGCGTCTCTTCCTGAAGCTAGCTGGCATACTCTGAGGGCATGGGCGGTGAGGAGCAGGCGGAGTGAGGTGGGTGGGAGTGGTGGCAGGGAGTGAAGAGGGGGACGTCCCACCCAGACATGGGGAGGCGCCTGCACGCCCGCCTGGGGGGCTTCAGGAGACCCGGACCTGGTCCTGCTGGTGTCTGTGGGCGGCAGGGCAGGAAGATGGGGGTGGGTATGACCAGGACTGGGAAAGGGGCTTGGAGCAGAGCTGGGGGCATCTGGGCCTGATGAGCCTGGGCTCATCCTATAGACTCCAGAATGAGCTTGGCTTTGCCAAGCAAAATCCTTTTATGTATCCCCACCTCCCAACTCCTCCAGCCTTGGCAGAGAAAGTGGCTGTGTAGAGAGAGGCCGGGGCCCTAAATATATTCGGGTGCTGTCCTTCTGGGATGTTCAGGGATTAGAAGGGGGGCAGGGAGTAGGGCCTCCCCCGACCTGCGCGCCCTCCTCCACCTGCTCCAGGCTGCAGGGTTGGGGCTGCATGGGGGGCCTGTTCCCTCCTCCCTCCTCTCTGCTGTCCCTGCTGGTTGACAAGGCCCCAGGCACAGCCAGAGAACGAAGGTGGCTCCTGGGACCGCCCAGGAGAGGTGGGCCTGAGCCCAGGGCCCAGTGGGCAGCTGCCTGAAAGCCTGACCACATCACACGCTGCCGTGTCTGACACCGCAGGCCTCGGCCGGTGGAACTGTGCAAGCTGAGGGAGGTGTCCCAGGACTCGGGTGGGTGAGACGCTCACTCCCCTCTCCTCCTCTCCCCCAGACTCATCCCCCCGTTGAATCAGCTGGAGCTGCTGAGGAACCTCAAGAGTAAATCTGGACTTGCTTTCAGGTCAGCCAGGGAGCTCCCGGTGGGGCGGGTGGGCGTCTCAGTCCTCTGGGGGCCCCAGCTGCCCACAGAAGACTCGCCCCAGACAGTGCCCCGGGGACTCCAGGGAGCTGGGACACGCAGGGACGCTGGACTTGGTGAGGGTGGTGCTTTCTCTTTCCGTGTCTGCTGACCTGGTCTGGACTCCCATCCCCAGAGGGGCAGCTGGTCTGGGGGACGGGCAGAGAGGGAGGGGCAAAGGTTGATGTGGGACCCAGGTGTGTGGGTCATATGATACGAAGTGGCCCGGCCCTGCGTCCCCCCGGCCCTGCGGACCCCCGGCCCTGCTTCCTCCCGAGTGCCTGGTGGTGACTCAGGCACTGGCGGCACCTGCTGCCTCTCCTTTAGGCCCAAAGCCCACGGCTGTCAGAGTGCCGGGCGCCGAGGTAGGTTGCAGAAGGGCCTGCTGAGCGGGAGACGTGGACCACGAATTCACCTGCCAGGCCTGCCCAGGCCCAGGGCCGTGCCCAGGCAGTTCCATGTCCCTTGGCGGGGCAGGAGCTTCCGGTGGGTTGGTTGCTGGTCTCTGCCTCCTGGAGACACATTTCTGTCCTGGAACCTGTCAGGACAATCTCAGATCATCCTGGATTTTCCGGGCGGGCCCTGAGTCCAACGATGAGTGTTCTTACAAGGAGAGGGAGATTGGGAAACACAGAGGAGACAGCCAACTAGGATGGAGAGGGACTGAAGCGATGTGGCCACAAGCTGAGGGCTGCCTGGAGCCACAGAAGCTGGAAGAGGCAGAAAGGAGCATTCCCTGGAGCTGCTGGAGGGAGCAGGCCCCGCCTGCCTGCCCGTCCGCCCGCCCCGCCCGCCCGCCACTTGGTTTTGGACTCTGGCCTCTGGGACGGTGAAAGAACAAAAGTCTGTTGTTGTACACTCCAGCGGCACTTAGTTACAGGAGCTGTAGCACATGAATCCAGACTTCAATCCCGGGAGCCGCGTGCTGCTGTGCCAAACACCTACCAGTGTGGGCGCGACTTCAGAGCTGGGTGATGCAGGGGCTTGTTTCCTGGAATCACAGGTCCACGCGTGGAGGACTTCAGCCCCAGGGTGCGTCACACCCAGAATCACACACACCTGATTTAAATGATTCTGATGACTTTATTATTTTATTTATTATTTTTGTTTGAGATGGAGTCTCACTCTGTCACCCAGGCTGGAGTGCGGTGGCGTGATCTCGGCTCACTACAACCTCTGCCTCCCGGGTTCAAGTGATTCTCCTGCCTCGGCCTCCTGAGTAGCTGGGATTACAGATACCTGCTACCACGCCTGGCTAATTTTTGTTATTTTTGGTGGAGATGGGGTTTCACCATGTTGGTTGGCCAGGCCGGTCTTAAGTTCCTGACCTCAAGGGCTCTGCCTGTCTCGGCCTCCCAAAGTGCTGGGATTAAAGGCGGGAGCCACCGTGCCCGGCCTCTGATGACTTTAGATGATGAAATTTGGGACTTTTTGAACTGATGGGATTTAAATGAGATTTTGGACATATTTTGAGGTGCAGGCTGGAAGAAACTGAGGTGTCCTGAAGAGATGGTGGGGCTCAGGAGGAAGTGGAGATGCAGCTATTGGAAGCTGGAGGGAAGGCTGTCCTTATGTTGCTGGTGGCAGAGAATCCGCCAGGCTGTGCACTACTGTCGGGCAGAGGCAGAATTTTTAAGTGATGAACTGGGATATTTAGCCAAGAAGATTTCCAAGCAAAGTGTGGAAGGTGCAGCCTAATTTATTTCTGCTGCTCATAGTAAAGTGAGAGAGGAAAGAGGGAGATTTGGAACGGCACCTGGCCGATCCGCCAAAAGACTATAAAAAAAAAAGAAGAAAGCATTCAGGGCAGAACTGCTGTAAGAAACCAGAACTTGAAGGTTTGGGAGGTGCTCAGCCTGTCCAGCTTGCAAAGGGTCTTAAATTAGGAGATTCACTGTTGGCAAAGCCTGCTTTGGCGAGAAGCCCACAGGTGTGGCCAGACAGCCTCGTAAGGTGCCAGGTGTGCAGCCGCAGCCTCCACCATCTCCACAGAGGCCTGAAGATGGAGCTATCCGGGAAGGACGTGCAGGGCGGCCTCCTGTCTAACAGCATCGCGCCCTGTGACATATTCAGGAGGCCCTGGAGGTTTTGGGGAGTTTCATACCAGCATAAACTAGATGGGCAGAGACAGTGTCAGACAAAGGTAAGAAGGCATCGAACTTCCGGGAGTCTGCAGGCAGGAAACAGGCCGGTGGCGCTCCTCAGCTGTGAACACAAGCTGCCCTTCAGGAAACGGAGAACGACGCCGAGGCTCCTGCAGAGGCCGGCGGGGCTGAGAGCCCCCAGGGAGCGTCCCCAGAGCTGTGCCACGTGGAGTTTGCCCACTGTGGTGGCCGGCGGCCCCTCTGTCATTCTCCCTTTCTGAGTGGGAAGGGCGGTCCTGCCGTGGATGTTTTAAGCAGATGACTTGTTTTGTAGATTCACAGGTGCGTGCACGGAGGACTTTAGCCCCAGGTTGGTGCATACCCGTGGTCTCACACACACCTGATTTAAGTGATTGCCATGACTTTAGATGATGGGATTTGGGACTTTTTGAATGGATAGGGTTTCTTTTTTCTGTTTTTTTTTTCTCCGAGACGGAGTCTTCTTGTGTCACTCAGGCTGGAGTGCAATGGCACGATCACGGCTCACTGCAACTTCTGCCTCCTGGGTTCAAGTGATTCTCCTCCATCAACCTCCCGAGTCCCTGGGATTACAGGCGCCCGCCACCACACCCAGCTAAGTTTTGTATTTTTAGTAGAGACGGGGTTTCACCATATTGGTCAGGCTGGTCTCGAACTCCTGACCTCAGGTGATCTGCCTGTCTCGGCCTCCCAAAGTGCTGGGATTGCAGGCGTGAGCCACCGCGCCCGGCCAGCAAATGGGAGTTCAATGAGGTTTTGGACACAGAGTCCGTGCTGCAAGGGTGGAGACTTTGGGGGATCTTGGGAGGGGTGAGTGTATTCTGGACGTAAGATGGACATGAATTCTGGGGGGTTGGGAGAATGCAGTGGGTTGAATGCTGGTCTCCAAAATGTCCCAGAATGTGCAAATGTGACCTTATTTGGGAAGAGGGTCCTTGCAGCTATAACTGAGTTTGGGATCTTGAGATGAGATCACCCTGGATCATCCCAATGGGCCCTATCCCGGTGACAGCTGTCCTTACAGAGGTAGAGGAGGGGAAGACACAGAGACACGGAGAGTGCCATGGAGAGACGGAGGCAGAGACGGAGCGGTGCGGCCACAAGCCAAGGACACCTGGGCCACCGGGAGCTGCAGGAGGCGATGAGGGACCTTCCCCGAGAGCATGGCAACACGGTCCCTGCCACATGAAGTATTTGGAAGTGCACCAAAGAACCTGCTTGTAACACGGCGTACCAGCCGGGGCACTGGCCCAGGTGTTCAGATGAGATCGCTGGGGCCTCCCCATGGATGAGCCGAATCACAGTCCACCGATCTCTACTCAATCTGCAATGCCTTTACCAGCAGAAACAGCCCCAAGTGAGACGCCGGAAGCCCAGACAGATTTGCCTGCAGGGCGAGGCCGGGGCAGTTGGTTGGTGGCACAAACCCTGGGCTCACTGACTGTGGCGCAATGGAGCCGCCCCTGGAGAGTCATGCGGAAGAGAATCATTCCATTGGGATAAGCGTGGAAAAAAGAGTCAGAGCAGCTCAGTCTGTCTCGAAAATTGATTGTAAACTAAACTCCCTTGTGGAGCTTTCTTCAGCAAACATGTCCTTTTTGGAACTTTATTAATATTGGTGTGGTTCTGGTTAAAATGAGTGTCCGTGAATGTGGGGGGGTAGTGACCCCCAGGTCAGAAGAGCAGAAGCCCCCGGCGGAGTCCCTCTTTCCTCTCAGAGCTGCTGCCATGGGCCCTGGGGTGCCCGTTCCTGGGGCCGTGGGCTCTCTGGGGTGGGCGAGCCAGCTCCACCCCTGCCCAGCCTTCTCTGAGAACCCCCTCCCCTGCAGCCCCTGGCCCATGGGACTGTGGGGGGCTGGACTGGTTAGGGGACCCTCAAGGGTGCTGAGCGGGCAGCCACTAACTCTCTATTGCTTCTGTTTGAAGGAAGGAGCCCCCGCCGGAGCCGTCTCCAAGGTCAGTGCCCCTCGCCGCTGCCCTGGTGTCTGCCGCGTGCACCACCGTCTGGTCTCTCTCCCACACGTTTGCACAACCTGTTGTGGAGACATGAGGGCCTTGTGTGTGCTTCCGTGTGTGACCGTGTGACTGTGTCCAGACCCCCGCCTGGCGGTGATGTGGGCCCTTAAATCACTTTTCCTGCTCACCCCTCCACAGTGATTCGGTTTTACTTTGCAGCACTGTGGATCCGGGCAGCTGGGTGGCTTCTCGGGGGGATCCCGCCCACAAGTCTGGCCCCAGGGCTCTCAGAGGCAGGGGTTTCTGCTAGCGCACTCCCTCCGGCTGCAGGCACACAGCCTGAGCTCACAGCTGGCCTGAGTCGGGCCGGCCGGGGTGGAAGCTCCGAGTGGGCCTCTGGCCTTCCCGCTGTTCTGGGTCGGGAGTATCTGGAGCACATGGCACAGACCAGGGACCCCCTGTCCTCCGGGGAGGGTGGGACACCCTCTCTGCCTCGCGCCCCTGGGTGGAGATGCTGGCCGGCCTCCTTCCCTGTTTGCCAAGGTCAAGGTGGGCCAAGGGTGCAGGTGCTCAGCCTGGTTCCCTCTCCCGGGCCCCTGAGGTTCTGCGGGTCAGGTAGATTGGAGACGGGACTCGTGTAAGGGGTGAAGGATGGAGACAGAGAAAATCAAGATCATTTCACAAGTTAATTCTATGTCTGCCGAGCCCCAGCCCCCCATGCATCACCCTGAGGAGGTCCCAGGCTTCTCTCAGCCCCATCCACATGTTGCAGAGTAAATCTGGCCCCTTGGACCTGGAGTCCGAGATGGATGCCTGGCTGCTTCGCGCCCATGCCCTCCTGGATGGCGGGTGACAGCTGGCGAGACACTGGGGGGCTTGGGTGTGGGGAGATGGAGTGGGGCTGAGTTCCATTTTTCCAGCCACCCCACATCCCACAGAAGGGGTCACGGTCAGTGCCTTGAGCTGGAAAGACGGGCAATGCTTCCGGCCCAAACCAACCAAGAGAACCACTAGGGGCCCGTTCATCCTCTCAGAGGCTAAGAAAACGGACGAGGGCCCAGAAAGAGTTGGATGGGCAGCACGGCCTCTGCTGGTGCCACCCCCACTGCTGCCACTGCCGGGGCCGCGTCATTCTCCTGACACTGCCTCCCCCGCCCCTGCTGTTGGCCCTGAGGCTGGGAGTGGTTGTGGGGATGGACACTGTACGCCCCACAATGGGCACCCTCGCCTGTGATTTGGGCGGAACCTCAGTGCTGTCCCAGGTGGAGGACAGCGGGGCCCCACGCCCTTGCTGAGAGTGACGCCGGAAATGCCCCGTGCCTCAGGGCCCTCGTGCTTGACGCCCCACCCGGCCGCTCCACGTTCTCGTCTCAGCCTCTCTCTTTCTCTCTCTCCCTCCCGCCCTCCACCCCACCCATCTGGACACCCGCTGCCCCCAAGCGCTTTAATCCCTGTTACTGCCCTTCTTGGGCCCCTCTCTCGTCTGCCCACTTTGGGGATGAGGTGCTGGCCCTGAAAGCGAACTCCAGGTGAGGACACGCGGGAGCCTCCGGGCTCTCCGGTAAGCTCTGTGGCTCCCCACCCCTCCCCCGTCTCTTCCCCATGTGTCCGGGGGTCCTTGCCTGCCTGTGCCTCCCACGCCCTCCCCCATGGGCGAGCGCCCACCCGCCCCGGCCCTCCTCCTGGGACGCCTGTGGTGAGGGATGTGGGGCGGCCAGGTCTGGGGCTTCCGGAAGGTGCCTGGGGTGCAGTGGGAGGGAGGAGCGGTGTCTGCCCTTGAAGGCCCTCCCTGCCCGTCCTGGGGTGCCGCAGCCTGTCCAGTGCAGGGCTGTGCTTAGGAAGTTGTTCCTCAATCATTACCTGCCACGTCCCTGGGCTACTGGGTGAGGGGCCTGCTCTGTGAAGCCTGAGGGAGAGCTCGGCTCCTGGTGCCCCTCTGCTGCCCGACCTGGGCTCTGTGAGTCCGGTGGGACCCGTGCCTCTGCCTGCCCTTTGGAGGTGGAGCCCGCACCCCACATGGCAGGACCCCGCTGGTGTCAGCTGGTCTTGGCAGGTGGATGGTGTGGACACAGGGACCCTCACTCACTGCTGAGACCCTCACCCCCATCCTAGCTCGGAACACAGGCACGTGGTGGCAAGCGACCCGGCTGGCAGGGGCTCGGTTCCCGTAGGGACCACTGGGGCTGTGCTGGAGTCAGAGGAGGCGTCTGCGTTGGGGTTGGGTGGGGAGCCAGGCAGGCTGGGGCTTGGGCTGCCCGGGGCAGGGGTCCCAGGGGCGTCTCTGTGGCCAGGTGGGGGGCTCAGGCTGTGCTGCCCCAGGGGGGTCCTGGGGGGGTCTCTGTGGCCACGGCGGCTCTGACTTGTGCTGTCTTGTCCCATCCTGCATCTCACTGCCTCCTGCCCCCGTGCCTGGAGGAGCCCCCAACAGCGGCTGCCCCCTTGTGCCTGTGTGGGCTCCCTCGTGCCTGTGTAGGCTCCCTCGTGCCTGTGTGGGCTCCCTCGTGCCTGTGGGCTCCTCCTCCTCTTCTCAAGCACAAGTGTCCGCGTGTTTTTGGTGCCTGTCTGTCGTGTCGGGTCTTGGTCAGCATCTGTGGGTCTCGGGCTCGCCGTGGGCCTGCCTGCCCGGCCTCGGGTCACGGCGCCTTCTCACACAGTGTGGAGCTCCCTGTGGCTGATGGGGCAGGAAGCCCAGTGCCAGCTGCAGACCCCAGGGTGAGGTGCAGCTGCACGGGCCCCCCACAAAACTTTGGGGGTCTTGGGGGGCTGTGGCTGCAGCGCCTCCCCACCAGCTCTCCCTGGCTCTCAGACCACGTTGCCCCATACAGGAGCTGCCAGCCACCGGTGGCTGTTAAAATAACGTGCATTAAAATGGGCACAATTAGAGATTCACTCTCGAGTCTCAGGTGCCTGGTGGCGACAGCCAGAGCTTCAGTGTGGCGACAGGACGATTCCATCGCAGAATTGGGCGGCAGGGGCAGCCCGGGAGGGGCCTCTTGGTCAAGGCGATCGTGATGGGGTCAAAACAGGAGACCTTGGGAGGCTTGGGGAAGCGGGACTCTGCCTCCTTTATGCTCCTTCCCCGGGGGTGGCGAAGGTCTCCTGCGGCCCTCCAGGCAGGGGCTCTGTGCTTGGGCCTGGGCACCCTGGTGGTGCTGGTGGGAGTCTGAGGTCTTTGCCTGCCAGGAAGGCTTGGGTGCCATCGTGGTTGCGGTGGCCACAGTGGAGAGACTCTGTGAGCAGTCAGAACCTCGGGCCCCGTCCCGCCCTCGCATTCATGGTTAACCAGCAAACAGAGTCTGGCCTTTTGCTATATCCCTTAGTGCCTGGGGAACCCAAAGCTGCTTGTGTACTAAAAAGCGGGACGGGCACGGGGGCTGGGGTGGAAGTTGGCCACCCGTCCTTGGGGTCTTGCGGGCTGGTGGGGCTCGCAGAAGGGTCCAGAGCCCTCAGCTACCCGGGTGGCCGAGTGCTGCCATGACTGGAGCCAGCCGTGTCCGTGACGCCGCATGGAGAGCTGCCAGCGGGTTTATGCAGGGACGTTGGTGTCTAAACACGCGTGTGCAAGAAGGCAGGAGGCGGGCCACTTTCTTCCCAGAGCCTGTGTGTTCTGAGTGGAAGCCGTCGTCACGCTGGGGTTCCTGGGGCGCCTAGTTTGAGAAGTGCTGTCTCAGGAAGCAGTGGCAAAGTGGGTGGGGGTGGCTGGGGTGGGGAAAAGGAAGGGTTCTTGTCGTTCTTGGTGATTTGCTTTCATTTTTTGCTTAATCATTTGCATACTGTGATGCAGAGATAAATCGCCAGGGCTTTCGGGGAGATTCTTGGGAAAGCGTGCCACGTTTTCTGAGCCTTTTCTAAGGAACGCCCAGCTGGAGCTGCCCCGGTGAAGGGCTTTGCACTGAGGGGATCCACCGAGCCCCGACGTGACTATCCTCAGGGGAGCCCTTGAACCCCCCCCCGGGTAGCCACGCCTGCAGCGGCAGCCACACCTCCTGGGTAACCCGAGACACAACTCCAGCTGGGGGCCTGGCTGGCGTGGCCAAACGTCGCGGATTGGTTTGTGAAGCGGGACAGCTGCACGTTTTCCTCCCTAAAATGTGCTTCCCACCCACACCCTTTCCTGGGATCACGTCCATCCCGAGCGGGGCTTCTGCGGCGTCTGAGGCCACATGTATTATTGTTTTGTTGGCATGAATACTGCAAAAAATAATACATCTTTTAAGACATGAACCCAAACTGTGGCTTTGGAAGGAAAAGGTATTTTTGGAGGAAAAAAAAAAACCAAAAACCAGGGATTTTTTTTTTCCTTCAGAAGTAGGGAAGTGTTTTCTTCTCCAGACGGTGGAGACGATGGTGCACCTTCCTCGCTGACCTTGCTTGGGCGCAAGCTCTGCTGCTGGGGACTGCACACAACACCCTGGGTGGTTGCAGTGCCTCAGTTTCCCTGCTCCCGGCCGTGTGCTGTTGCCGGCGCCCAGGACTAACTGTGCTCTCCTCATTTCCAGTAAAGGCAGCCCGTGCAGAGGGCCCCTGTGTGGATGCTGCCCCGGACGCTCTAGGTACCGCGGAACGCACCGCACGGACTGACCGCTGCTGCACGGCTCCTCTGCCCCTCCCTGCTTACTAGAGGTTCTGGAGGAGCCAGGGGGAGGCTGGCGCCCCAACCCCAATTCTGACCCACCGCCCTCGCGGTGCGGGCTCAGCTCCTTCTATTCCAGCTGACAGCTGCCTGCAGGGCGGAGCTGGGCGAAGGTGGTTCTTCTTGCTCCCCACGCCTGGCGATGTCCTGCATGCAGCTGGAGGGGCCAGCCAGGGGCTCTGCACCCAGCAAGGCGTCCGTGCCTCCTGGGGTCCCCGACTGCTCTTCAGGGAGCGTTCCCCTGGGGCTGTCACTCTAGCACCTCTGCTGCACACCTGAGGACGACTGAGCCTTCCTGGCTGCCTCGCCTGCGGGAGGCAGCTCCGTCTGTGTGTGCTGGGCTCCTCAGGGTCCTGATGCATCAGAAGCCCCAGAAAGCCAGAGACCCGCGGCTCTCTCTCCCAACAACAGGCCTGGTTTAGGGCAGGTGGAAACAGGACGGGGGAGGAGCCGCCCCCTTTGCACCGTGGGCTCCTGGCCTGCACTGTGACCCGCACCTCCCCTGTCCCTGAGTCCCCTGTCTGCTGTGGGGTGTGTGCAGGCCTGCACTGGGGGCCCCTCCCTCCTGGCCAGCACAGCCCAGCAAGGTGGAGGCGGCTGTGTCGTGCTCACGTGGGGCCTCCTTGGCGCGTGCATGCTGCCCGTGGTGCTGGCCTCGGAGGGTTGGTAGGGCTGCATGCTGCCTACCTGCATCCGTGCATGCTCCAGACCCTGCTCCACAGGGGACCCGCAGCCCCCACCTCCCCCGGCCACCCTCTCCCTGCGACTTTGCTGTGCTGCTTGTGTGCTTTGGAGTCGGTGCTTGCGGGCAGACTGTTGGCAGCCCCAGAGAGGGAGACGGGCATGTGGGCTGCCCGGGGCACGGCCTGCTGGGGTTCTAGCAGGATGTCCTGCCTGTCCAGAGCTGCTGTTCAGGGTGCTTCTGGCCGCATGCTAGTCCCTCAGGGCAGGGGCTGAGGTCAGGCTGCTTGGGGACCAGAGGGTTTGGAAGTGGGGGTGGGAGCCCAGGCCAGAGAACAACCCATGGCAGGTCCTGTCCTGCTGCAAGCAGCCCCCATGGGAAGCCCCTTCATCCTCACACTCCCTGGGCATCATTGGTCCAGACACCAGCTGGGCGGGGCTCTGGATGCTCCTCAGCCTCCTGCTTCCTGCAGGCACCGCACATCTGAGTTTCCCCATGGGGAGGGAGGGTGGCAGGCAGGGTGGGAGTGGCACTCTCTCCCAGGTGCTTCTTGAGCCTGCCCCAGCCCCGTAAGTGCCAAGCGTAGGTGCCATGGACACCCCTCGCACACAGAGGGCAGCTCTGGCTGAGGGCTCCTCCCAGGCGGGCGTCGGCAGCTTTTCGCGTGTGCTTGTTCCTGGCTTGTGCGCCGAGGGAGGTTCCCGTGAGACCATGTGTGCTCCTGGCAGCTGAGCAGGCTGGTGGGGTCGGGTGTCTGCAGCATGGAGCCTCACCGGCTGTGCTTGGAGGGTGCAGAGTTTGGGTCATGGTGGAGGTCCAGGGGAGGGAAAGACATGTCCAGGCCCCACCAGCCTCCTCTCCCTGGCAGAGCCTCCCTCACAGATCTGAGGTGGGAGCGGAGCCCGAGACCCGGGACAGCAGGGCCGTGCGGAGGCCAGGGCAGGCTCCTTCCCGCCAGCTCCGTCCTGGGGCAGTGCACGTGGGCTGCGTCCTGGTGGCCCTTGGGACTGTGCTGACATTGGGTCCAGCAGGGCATGCCTGCCGCTTGTGGGACTGCAGCTCCTCGTGGTGGTGGGGCGGGGGAGTTCCCCACTGGAAAATGGGAAGCAGATGTCGTTGGGGCCGGGTCTTCTCTCCTGGGGCCTGTGGAATCCACGTCACTCCCTTCCTGCAACTCCCTGCGGACTACGGGGCCTGACCCTTCCTGGCCGGCACGTCTGTGTGGCTGTCTGGGTGTTTGACCCGTTCGTCTCCAAAGCCGCAGGAAGGAATCTGATGCCAATTCCTCAGACTGTGCCTTTCCCACTGCAAGCCCTCAGCACTGGGCTCTGCCTAGAGACCAGCCAGGGGCAGCCCCGAAGCTGCAGTTGGGCTGACCGGCTCTGTCCTCCACCCGGTGCTTTGCCAGCTGCCATGAGAAAGGAGGTGGCTGCTTCTCTCTCTCTTTGGTGACTGGACCTGCCTGGGGTGGAGAGGTGGAGAGAGGAATTGAGTCTTCCAGTGACTCCCACTTGTCCTAAGGCCTGAGCGGGGCCAGGAGGGCCTGTTCCTACCTCTGGAATGGCTCGTGCAGTGGAGGAAGAGAAAACATTCCAGAAGCCAGAGTCCCACGGAGCCCGTGCCCAGGTGCTCCCCCAGCCCCGGTCCGGTTCTCCCCGGCCACCTGTGTTTTTGTTGTTGGGACAGGGACCAGAGGCCGTCGGGACAGAGGCCCCCATGGCACCAGGACTCTGAGCACCCCTGGCCCCTACGGGCACAGCGTGTTGGCCTCAGGCAGTGCAGGGCTGTGGACTCAGGGCTAGGGTCCTGAGCGAGCCTGTACCATCGGCTCCTGATATCCCCAAGCACGCGCCACCTCGGGGGGGTCTCGGCCACTCCGTCTCTGCTTCCCCGAGCGGGCACCACACCCAGGGGCTTCCGTCTCTGCTTCCCCGAGCGGGCACCACACCCGGGGGCTTCTTTCTTTCTCTCAGAGACCCGAGTGGGCACAGATGGTCTGGGTGGTCACCTGCTGCCCGGGGGATGGGGTGGGGAGGAGCAGCCAAGCCACCCGCGTGTCCAGGTCGGGCAGATGGGCGCGGTGGGCTCTCGTGTCTGTGGCTGGTTGTCTCTGTGCCGTCTGGGGGCGTGTCTTTCTGGCTGTGGGTCCGGGGTTGGGGCTGATGGTGGCTGCTGACTGGGACCTCAGTCCCTCGCTGTTGGCTGTGGAGCTGCCGTGGGATCAGTGAGCCCGTGAGGCACTGGGCTTCCTCTCTGAAGTGTGTCAGGGATCTGCTGGGCCTCCCCACCCGAGGGCTCATCTCAGGCCCCCAGAACGGTGCTCTGGGCCCTGCCCAGAACCGCCCTGAGAAGTTCCATGGCTGCTAAGCATGGCCGGGCACGAGCGCGTCCCCAGTTCACGAGAGCCCCACTGTCCTCAAGGGAGCCAGGGGACTCTGATGCTTTCCAGACCTCAGGAGGCTGCATCTGCCGGGTGCATCCCAACCACAGTGACCCCTCCCCTCCCCTCACTGTCGCCTGGAGGATGCTGGAGCCGAAGAACTTGGGTGCAAACCTGTCGCCACAGTCACCAAAAAACTCAGGAGCAAGGCAGGCCCAAGGACCCTTGAGAATATGGAGCTGGAGATCCAGCCAGACACAGCTGCAAATCCTGCTCCATGCCTCGCAGGCCGAGGGGGCTGGGCCACAGCACTGCAGCTTTCAAGGCTGCCTCCGCCTGCCCTGGGGTAGGACTTGGACAGTGAGGCTTGTTGCTTGAGGCCCGGCTGGCGGAGGAGCCCCGTTATCCATTCCTTCCTTCCAGAAGCCTGAAGGAGCAGTTCTCTGATGATGCACCTGGTGGGAGGGAAGCCCAACAGGGGAGGCCTGAGCCCTCCCGAAGCCCGTCCCACCAGGCGGTCCCCCGGGTTGGGTGGAAAGGCTGGAGTGTGGCGGAAGGGTCCGCCACAGACTCAGCCTCCAACGTCCTGTTGTCCCCTGGCCCCTTGACTCTGGGGCAGGAGAGGACAGGTGGCGGGAGGGCAGGAGGGAGGCTGCTTCCTGGGAGCAGTTACGGGTGTGAAAAGGCCACAGGGGAAACCACGGGTGGGGCCAGGGCAGACAGAAGTGCCCGAAGAAGAGCCGCAGCCCTGGTGTTTGGGACGCCCATTGCCCTTCGTGTCACTGGGTGAGGGGCTGGCGGGACAGCATGAAGAAGGCACTAGCGGAAAGTGATTTAAGAGTCCACAGACATCAACTCCCCCGACATGGCCAAGCTCTGGCCACGCCTGAGCCAGCCGGGGGAGCTTGCCGCCCACCCAGCCTCCCCTCCCTCCCTCCTCCCGCCCGGTGCTGGGTCCCTGTGGCCTCCCCTCCCTGCTCCCGCCGGGTGCTCGGTCCCCGTGGCATCTGCTCTGAGCCACCTGTGTGGCTGGCTGTTCTTCAGACCTGTGTCTCCCTGCAGCGCGTGGGCGGCGTTGGCCGTGAGCAGACACGGTCTGTGTTCTTTCCAGAGTGACTTCTCTCGCTGTTTTTCTGTCTGTCTGTCTGTCTGTCTGTCGGTTCCCATGAGAGCAGCCAGAAGGTCAGTTTGAAAGATCGTGTCTTCTCCAGCCCCCGAGGCGTTGCTGCCAAGGGGAAGGGGTCCCCGCAGGCCCAGACTGTGCGGCGGTCACCCAGCGCCGACCAGAGCCTCGAGGACAGCCCCAGCAAGGTGCCCAAGAGCTGGAGCTTCGGGGACCGCAGCCGGGCGCGCCAGGCTTTCCGCATTAAGGGTGCCGCATCACGGCAGAACTCCGAAGGTGGGTCTGGCCGCGCCTTCCTCTCCGGGGATGGAGGTGGTGCCTGAGCCACTGGGACACCCGGCAGCATCACAGCCTCTTGTGCTTGCTCTTGGAGTGGGAACCCCCATCCTTTCTAAAATTGAGTTACACTCATGCAACCTAAAATTAACGAGTTAAAAGTGTAGGAATTCAGTGGTATTTGGCACACTCATGGTGGAGTGGTCGCCACCACCTCAGCCTAGTTCCAGAACATTCTCATCACCACGGAAGGAAACTGCGGCCCCATCAGTGGTCACCCCATTCCCCGCCTCAGCCCCAGCACCCACCGCTCTCGGGCTGTGCGTGTCCGCGGCTCCTGCGTGCGGCCGTCGGGTCTGGCTTCCTTCACTGAGCCTCAGGTGTCAGGCCTGCACCTTCCGCTGTTAACATCTGTGTGTGGATGCGCCATGTTCTGTTCATCCGTTGGCCGGGGTGTCCTTTGATGCCCCACGTCAGCCACTCCCTGTGGCCACAGGCTGCCGGGGAAGGTCAGCCAGATGCAGAGGGGAGGGTTTCCAGAAAAGCAGGTGCACCCATGGGGCACCCCAGGGAGCCTCAAAGGGCTCCCTGGCGCTCTGTCCAGCTGGTGTGCCCTGCAGGACCCCGGGAATGGGTCTCCCGGCCCCCTCAACCCCTCACGGCCTGTCTCCTTCCCCCCAGAAGCAAGCCTCCCTGGAGAGGACATTGTGGATGACAAGAGCTGCCCCTGCGAGTTTGTGACTGAGGACCTGACCCCGGGCCTCAAAGTCAGCATCAGAGCCGTGTGGTGAGGCCCCTGCCCAGCCGGAGCCTGGGGGAGTGAGGAGGGGCCTCCCGCTCGGTGGTCCTGCCTCCTGCAGGTGCTCATGGGGCTGGACAGAGCCGCCCAGAGACAGGGTCTACCAGGAAAAGAAAGGGCCAAGACACGGCAACCTGGCTGAATGTCCTGGAGTCCACTCTGGGACTCGGGTGGGCTTCGGGTGGGACACTGGTTCAGCAAGAGGCCGGAGGCCTGGTGCCACCTGGCTTAGGAAGCAGCTCAGCCACCTTGTGCCTGCTGTGGCACGGAGTCCAAGGGGGCATGGCCAGGCCTGCAAGCCCCACCTGTCACGAGCATAGCAGGGCCACGAACAGGCCCTTCTGTGTGTGGAGCTGGTGGGAGGCAGACGAGACAGGCAAGTCCAGCCTTCTTCAGGGGCCGCGGTCTCAGAGGTGCTGGGAGGGCGACAGGCAGGCAGACGCAGGCCAGCCTGGTGCATGTGGCTGGGGTCTCTGGCCCAGGGCTCACGGCCCCACCCACCCCCTGCAGTGTCATGCGGTTCCTGGTATCCAAGCGGAAGTTCAAGGAGAGCCTGCGGCCCTACGACGTGATGGACGTCATTGAGCAGTACTCAGCCGGCCACCTGGACATGCTGTCCCGAATTAAGAGCCTGCAGTCCAGGCAAGAGCCTCGCCTGCCTGTCCAGCAGGGGACGAGAGCGGGGTGGGCTTCTGGGACAAAGCCCACTGTGGCCCACGGTGGGAGTGCAGGGGGTGTGCGGGGGGGGCCTCCTCCCCCACCCATGTCGGCCTCTGTCAGCTTCTGTTGTGTCTTCACAAAGTCGATTTTAATATTCTGTTGTTTCCCCCATCTTTCCCCCATCCACACTGCGGTGGAAAAGTGTGTGCACCTGCGTGTGTGGGTCCCTGAAAACGTGCGTGTGCATGTGTGTGTGTATAAGTCATGCATGCACACGTGTGCTTCCGCACAGGTGTATGTGTGTGGTGTGCACATGTGGCTCTGCTCTGCCATGTATGCACGTGTGTGGGGAGTTGCATACATGTGTGTACACATGTGCGCATGTGTGTGCATGTGTGTTGGGGATGGAGTAATTCTGTTGAGACATGAAGCTGCAGGGTTCCCGTGGGCCCCGCCAGGCAGCAGTTATGCTATTTGGCACCTTTTCTTCTACCTGCCCTTCTTGGTGTAGGTGTCCCCTAAGTCCACACGTGTGCAGCCTCAGGCACATACAAACAAGCATATACACACGAGTGGGTGTTTATGTTGCCTGTAAGGGGGACACACGGCTGTTGGGAGTCTCTCCTGCAGTAGGGGACATGCTCCTGCCTATCAGGGTCCCCTCCCTCTCCCAGGTCCCCCAACCAAGACTGTAGCAGTTTCCCAGCCCTGGAAGCGAGGCTGGGCCCCCGTTACAGGGAGGAGGCTGGGATGGTCAGGGACAGCCCGGGGTCACAGCCCAACTCCGGGCCTTCCAGCGGAGCGAAGCTCTCCTCTGAGGCAGTCGAGAACCCCACTGTGGGGCTCCTGCCCAGTCCTGCTTCAGGGGGCCAGGGAAGGGGCGCCTCCAGGCCTTAGCCCACTCCTGCTGTGCAGGGGCCGCTGAGCCATCCCCTTCGCCCTGCTGGGCTCCAGCCGTGAGGCCTCTTTTCCAGCGTCGTCTCTGGAGCAGCGGCCAGCGCTGGCCTCGTGTGCGTGTGCGTGCGCGTGCAGAACGCCCTCCTGTCTTGACTTTTGTGCTTTGTCTCCACATCTCTCTCACTTCAGCTGTTTTTGTTCACCAGGATCTCATCTTAAATTTTCCCTTCCCTTCCCTTTCTCTCTGGAAAAACAAACAAACCAAACCAAACAGCCCAAGGACCCCAGGAGTCCTCGGCCAGCTCCTGACAATGCGTTTCACGTTGCCTCGAAGCGGCCTGTCTGGTACCGGCTCACCTGCACTGCACGCTCCAGGGCGCAGCACCCGGGTCTCCGCAGTGGGGCCTCCCGCCACCGCTCCCGAGTCAAACACTTTGTTTGAAACACGGGAAGGACTTGGCAAATCCAAGGTCCAGCGAGGTGGCGTCCGCACCCTCTGTGGGAGAGCACCTGTTTTGACGAAGCCTCACTGTTGCTTCTGTTGGGTGTTCCTTCTGTTTCCGCCAGTTCCTGGCCAGCTCCTTCTTTCATGTGGCTTTACGATGCATTTTGCTGGTGTCTCTTTTCTTGTTTACTCTGCCAGGATAGATATGATTGTGGGCCCCCCACCCCCTTCAACTCCCCGGCACAAGAAGTACCCCACCAAAGGACCCACGGCCCCTCCGAGAGAGTCACCCCAGTACTCACCTAGGTTAGGATGCCAGCACCTCTCCGACGTGTCTGTGGAATGGCCGGCCCCTTCGCTCCAGGCCACATGACGGCAGCACCTTGTACCACCCTTTCCCCGGGCCAGAGGGGACGCTCGGGTTTTCTCTGTGCCTGAAAAGGCAACATGAGGGAGAAGGCCCTTCCTCCTCCAGGGCCCCAGGCAGGCTGTGCCCATGTCAGGACTGCCAGGGGCCCCACTGCTCCTCTCGACAAGTGCCCTGGGGAAACCGGGGGCTCTGGACGCCCTGTGAGACTTCCCTCTGGAGTTGGGAGGCCCCCGGGTAGCACCTCCAGGATCAGATGCCATCAGACCTTCAGGGATGTCCCCCTTGCCCTGCTCCTGCCCCCTGGAAAGGCCCCTCCTGGCAGAGGGCCCTCCAGCCTCCCCAGGCACTGACCTGCCCCTCAGCACCTGCCCACTGCAGGGGTGGGCTTGGCTGTGTGCACGGCCCAGACCTGGGCCCTGTGTGGCTCTGAGCAGGTGGAGCTGCGTGTCTGTGGCTCTTCCCTCTCGTGGAAGATACAGATGGTCACAGCATCTACCCCTTAAGCCACTGGGAAGAAATGTGAGCAAAGGCCTGCCAGGTGCCCGGCACAGACGTGTGCTGAGCAGCTCCGGTGCTGGCTTTCAAGCCGCCAGCATCCTAATTAGTGTTTTTGATAAAGGAGCTGGCGAGAGCCCCAGCCGATGGGCAGAAGAGGCGCGGCCCACGTGAGCTGGCAGAAGCCAATTCTATAGTGATTAATTCAGACTTTCCAAGGCCTTCCTGCCTCCCAGGGACCATTCAGATGACGGTGGTTCCCCATCTTCTGGCAAGTCTGATAGGCTGAGGGAGGGCAGAGCCCCCCGGGCAGAGGCCTAGAGGCTGAGCATAGACCCCTGGCCCTCCTGACAGCTCAGGGCAGAGGGTTTCTGGGCACAGCCGATGCCAGTGTCTGGGCAAATGAAGCCCAGGCCTAGGCTGTTGGGGGCAGCGTCCGGGGCGAGTCTGACCCCTCCTCCGTCTGTGGTGGGGTTTCGCCTGTGAGGCTGAGGTTCTGTGCACTGGACACGTCAACCCCGTGCTCCTCGCATGAGAACAGAGTTTCTGGGAGCAGGCAGGGCGTCGTCTGTTACTGCCTAACCCAAGGTAGCCCCAGACAGTGTTTGCAGGGTTCCCTGCTCTGCGGTGCCCCCCAGGCCCAAGGGTGCTGTGCCCTGGGGCTCGTCCTCCGTCCTCCTGTGCCTTGTCACAGGGGACAGCAGTTGGGCATCCATAGCTGTGAACTCGGAAGGTCCTGCGGCTAGGAGACGTAGGATCACACAGAGAGGGGGCTAGGGGACAGTTGGAGCGCTTGCCCCATCTCACGGGGCACTGAGCACTCAAGGATCAAGTCTCCCCCAGTCTGAGGTCCAGGGCAGGAGGGGCACAGGGTCCTCAGAGGAGCCCCCAGCAGCAGCTCCAGGCCGAGCCCGTGGCCAGGGCTCCTATTGGGACTGAGCAGGCGGGCGGCCCGTCATGTGGCAGGGGCGAAGGTGCTTAGCATCTGCCTGGACTGTGTGGACGCCCCGAACACCAGGGACCCCCATCTCCTCCATCGCCACTGGCGTCTGCTCGGAGCCAGAGGGTCCCCTCCCGCTGCCCCTCCCCCCATCCCCTCCCGCCCTCCTGGCCCTATTGCATGAGTCCAGCATGAAGACCCGCAGAGCATGAGGAGCTGCACTGTGGCCGACGCGAGCCTGAAACCCCCTCTGTTTCTTGCAACAGAAAGAAGAAAACACCCCCGGCCCACCCTCCCCCACCCCCATCAGAGGCAGGTAGGGCAGCCCAGTGGCAGGAAGTGAGGACTCGGCCCCGTCGGGCTGGTGTGGGGCGCTCTTCATGTACCAGGCCCCAGTCCAGAGGAGACTCGGGAGCTTGCACCCTCGCCTGGGTGGGTCCTGCTCAGCCACACCCTGTCTCGAGCTGCCCTTGTCCAGCTGGACTTTTATAGACTTACTGCAGGGTCTTTGTTTCCAAGTGAGTTCCCATGTAGCTGCAGGCCTCAGCGCACACCCACCGTGGTGGCCCCCGCCAGCCCAGCAGCGGCCATGGCTCTGTGGCTACCAGACTGGTCAAAAGCCCCTGTCCCTGAGGGCAAAGGAGCCTCCCTCCCTTTTTATTGTCATGAGTGACCTATGGCCTCATTGGAGATCAGCTCAGCTGAATTCTGCATCCTGCAGACACATAGGCGCAGACACATAGGCACACATGCAAATGTGCACAGTCTTGCACACATGAACATGCATATGTGTGCACACACAAACTTGTGCAATGCAAGAGGGCACACACACACAACTGAGGACACACACGTGCAGTATGCACACGCCTGGGTACACACATGCATATGTGTGCACACACAAATCCTCAGTAAATGTAAGAGGCACACACACACAACTGAGGACACACGTGCAGTATGCATGACGCCTGGTACACATAAAATAAGTGCACACACATGTGCAGTAGGCACACGCCTGGGTACACCCGTGCACACACACGTGCAGTAGGCACACGCCTGGGTACACACGTGCACACACACGTGCAGTATGCACACGCCTGGGTACACACGTGCACACACACGTGCACACACCCTCGCAGCTTTGTCTCCCCTCCTCTGGTTTGTGCGTTGGTTCCTGTGCTGCTCTGTGCCCTCCCTCCTTGTCCTGGTGCATGAGCTGCAGCTCTCACGCCTTTTCTGCTTCTGTTATCCCCGCCGCAGACATTTAACTCTGTGCCCATCAGACCTGGTGGGGCCGATGGCCTCAGTGGCACATTACGTAGGAGTAAAGCTCCAGGGTGGGCATGGGGAGGGGGAGGGGCATCCTCTGGAGTGGGCTCCAGGCCCTGCAGTGGGAGACCCTCTGTAGGCTGTGGGGTCAATAGGCCTTGAGAAGGGAAGAGGATGAGCAGGTGGGGCTGGCTGGAGGGAGCTGGGAGCCCACGGAGAGGAGCCAGGTGACTTGGTCCTGGTGGGAGCTTCCTTTACTCCTCGCTAATGTGCCAGGCCCCTCGGGGACAGAGCGGGCAGGAGCAGAACCTCGCGGTGCCAGAAGACGGGCTGAGAACGGGGTATACCCCGTCCGTCTGTCCTGGCACCCGCTGCCCCCTGGTCGGCTCTGGGCTGGGCCTACAGCCTGGCTCAGGAGGAGAGGGCAGGGGCACTGCTGCACCCACCCGAACTCATGCTTTGCGGTCTCTGTTCCTGGTAGAGTGGACCAGATTGTGGGGCGGGGCCCAGCGATCACGGACAAGGACCGCACCAAGGGCCCGGCCGAGGCGGAGCTGCCTGAGGACCCCAGCATGATGGGACGGCTCGGGAAGGTGGAGAAGCAGGTGCGAGGGGCTGGGCAGGAGGGGTGCGGGTCTGGAGGGCTGTGGTGCCTGCTGTCTGGGGCCCTTGCTGTCAGCCTGTGGCAGTGTGGGCTTCAAGGGCTGGGTGCCACGGAGGGGGGCTCCTCAAGTCTAGGGGGCACATGCCCCTGTCATCACTGACAGCTGCTCTGTGCAGACCCCTCACACCCCATTGTGAGCCCCCTGCCCCCGGCCTGGGGTGCCCAAGAATCTGCTGCTTCCACATCCCCTGTGGAATGTGCCAGAAGTTGTACCTGCCTGGCCTTCCTCCTCTCTGTCCTCCTTGCCTGACACCCCAGCCACTGTCTTCTGGGGGTGCATTCTCAGAAACCATCGCAGAGGACCCCTGTTTTGGGGTCTGCGTCTGAGAACTGGGCCTGAGCAGTAAGTGAGGAACTGCCAGGTCCTGCCCTGTGGGGCTTTCCCTGAAGGGGGTTCCACAGTAGGCAGCAGGAGGGCCTGGCTCTGAACACATGCCCCAACCGTGGAGCTGGAGGCTGAGCCCCCAGGGGTCTGGGAAGGAGGAGGAGCTGCTCGGGGGCCTCCTCTTCCTGCTCCTCCAGCTTCCAGGGAGCAGGGGTCCCCCCTCCCTGCACCTCTCCAGGGAGCAGCCCAGGTCCCCCCACCTCCTGGGACCGGACCAGCCCAAGTCGACTGACTTCCTGGGAGTGGCCCAGGTCCCCCCATCTCCTAGGACCAGCCTGGGTCCCCCCCACTTCCTGGGACTAGCCTGCGTCCCTCCTGTTTCCTGGGACCAGCCTGGGTCCCCCCGTTTCCTGGGAGCAGCCCAAGTCCCCCGACCCCTGGCACGGGCCCTCGCAGCCCAGCCCAGCAGCCCCTTTTGCAGGTCTTGTCCATGGAGAAGAAGCTGGACTTCCTGGTGAACATCTACATGCAGCGGATGGGCATCCCCCCGACAGAGACTGAGGCCTACTTTGGGGCCAAAGAGCCAGAGCCGGCACCTCCATACCATAGCCCGGAAGACAGCCGGGAGCACGTCGACAGGCACGGCTGCATCGTCAAGATTGTGCGCTCCAGCAGCTCCACGGGCCAGAAGAACTTCTCGGCGCCCCCGGCTGCGCCCCCTGTCCAGTGTCCGCCCTCCACCTCCTGGCAGCCACAGAGCCACCCGCGCCAGGGCCACGGCACCTCCCCCGTGGGGGACCCTGGCTCCCTGGTGCGCATCCCGCCGCCGCCTGCCCACGAGCGGTCACTGTCCGCCTACGGCGGGGGCAACCGCGCCAGCACAGAGTTCCTGCGGCAGGAGGATGCCCCCGGCTGCAGGCCCCCCGAGGGGACTCTGCGGGACAGCGACACATCCATCTCCATCCCGTCCGTGGACCACGAGGAGCTGGAGCGTTCCTTCAGCGGCTTCAGCATCTCCCAGTCCAAGGAGAACCTGGATGCTCTCAACAGCTGCTATGCGGCCGTGGCGCCTTGTGCCAAAGTCAGGCCCTACATCGCGGAGGGAGAGTCAGACACCGACTCCGACCTCTGTACCCCCTGCGGGCCCCCGCCACGCTCGGCCACCGGCGAGGGCCCCTTTGGTGACGTGGGCTGGGCCGGGCCCAGGAAGTGAGGCAGCACTGGGCCAGTGGACCCGTCCGCGGCCCTCCTCAGCACGGTGCCTCCGAGGTTTTGAGGCAGGAACCCTCTGGGGCCCTTTTCTTACAGTAACTGAGTGTGGCGGGAAGGGTGGGCCCTGGAGGGGCCCATGTGGGCTGAAGGACGGGGCTCCTGGCAGTGACCTTTTACAAAAGTTATTTTCCGACAGGGGCTGGAGGGCCGGGCAGGGCCCTGTGGCTCCAGGAGCAGCGTGCAGCAGTAAGGTCGCCCTGTCCACTCTGCTCAGGGCTGTGGCAGACATCGGCCTGGTGTGAGGAGGGGCAGGAGTGATGACGGGGTGTGGCTGGCATGGCGACAGGCGGGGGATGGTCTCAGGGAGCCAAGCCCAGGGGAGGCACAAGGGGCAGGCCTGTTCCATGAGGACCTGTGGGCCTTGGGGCCTGGTGGGATTTCTGGGCAGCTGCGGGTGGGTGTGGCTGGCCGCTGCACGTGGCCTCTGCCCTCACACCTGGCCTGCCCGGCGGACTTTCCCGTGCCCCACCTCAGGGGTGCCCAATTACAGAGCTATTGATTGGCATCTTCTCCCGTACCTTCTGGGATCTGAGGGATCTTTTGGTGGGAACCAGCCCTGAGGTGGAGACCCTCACTGGCAGCTGAGGAGCAGGTGGGGCCTGGGAACCAAACTGGAGCCCAGAGTGGACATCCAACCCTCTGGTCTTGGCCTCTAGGGGGAAGGCCCGGCTCACGGTGGGACCAGGGATCCAGCTCTGAAGCGTCTTCAGAAAGGGGGTCCTTGGGGGCTCCAGCTGCCTCGCCCTGGCCTTTCCGTGGGTGCGTGAGAGCCAGCAGCACCCCAGCCTCGGAGACCTAGGGGGCAGGACCCCAAGTCTTCCCCTCTCTCCTGACTGCCCTGGTCGGGTGCTGGCGCTGGGACACCTGCCTGGTGAGCAGGCCTCACAGTTCTTAGCCAGGGGTCCGCCTCACCTCTGTCCACCAATGCCCCGACAGACTTGGGGCAGGGCTGGGCCGTGATGCGGTGGGCCAGGAAAGCCTTCACGCCAGCACAGGGCCGCCCTCCCCGACTTTCCGGAGGAAGCCGCCCCCACCTCAGCCCAGCTGAGTGCCCTCCCTGCTCTCCTGCGCCCCTGGAGCTGACGGCCCCTTCTCCACTGACCGATTCCTTAACTGGGCCTCTTGGGGTCTCGGGCCTCAGGGATGCACCATCCCACACCTGTCCTGTTGCCGGCACCGTGGCCCTTGGGGCGGGCGGCTGTGATGGGGGAGCGAGTCCCTAGCTCCAGACTTAAGCACCAGAGCCCGGGAGCATCTGGCATTGGGGTGATGGCATTGCAGGCGGGCCTGGGCTCCTAGAGAGTGGCCTCCCCGGGAGGGAGCAGGGCTGGGGTCATGGGCACAAATACTCCCAGAGAGCAAGGACAGGGGAGCCCTGGGCCCGTTTCTCCTCCACCTTCAGGAGCCCTGGGCCCGTTTCTCCTCCACCTTCGGGGAGCCCTGGGCCCATTTCTCCTCCACCTTCGGGGAGCCCTGGGCCCGTTTCTCCTCCACCTTCGGGGAGCCCTGGGCCCGTTTCTCCTTCACCTTCGGGAACCCTGGGCCCGTTTCTCCTCCACCTTCGTTTTAAGTTCACTTGGCTTGGCTGGGAGGTCCTGAGGCCCTGAGGTCAGCAGGGGAACACGTCCTGAGGGAGAGGACTTTGAAAGCAGCATGTGAGGGTCGTACGCCCCTGGCTGGTGGGGGTCCTGGAGCTCAGGGTGTTTGGGGAGCCATGTCTGGCGTCCGTTGTGGGGAGCTGCTACCCTGGCCTCTGTGCCTACCCCCAGCCCAGCCAGGGCACTCCCAGGCCACATCGTCATTGGGGTGCCTCCGCTGGGCCATCTCCTTACCCCTCCCTGTGCTGGAGCCTGTCCCAAAAAGGTGCCCATTGGGAGGCCTCAGAAGCCACTGTCCAGTCTCCCACTGCCTGTCTGCTTTGTTTCCAAAGGCAGCGTGTGTGTGGCCTCGGGCCCTGCGGTGGCAAGAAGCATCCCTTCTGGTGTGTTTCCTGGGCAGCGTCTCACGGGCGGTGCCCTTGCTGTCTCCCTTGGGCTGGCTCCAGCCCGGGGACCACGTCCCTTCGCCTTGCCGTCATGGGACAGGGAATCCCCAGCAGGGCCCACAGGCAGGGGTGTGAGTGCATCCCGCCCAGTGCAGCACCAGCCCCAGCCACCGCTCCCCACGTCCCCAGTTCCGGCTCAGCCACCCGGACTCCAGATCCCGGAGAAGAGAGACTTGGCAGTGGAGGGAGGCTGTGCTGTGTGTCCCCTGCCAGGTGTGGCCCCGCCTGCTCTTTCCTCCCCCCAGGGCCTCTGAGGCATGAGCACCTGGGCACAGGTTGGGGTTCTGCAGGATGGGGAAGACAGGCCAATCCCTTCCCTACCAGAAGCTGGCCGCCCAGCAGGAGGGACTGAGGCCAGACTCATGTCCAGCAAGGAGCCTGTGGTGTGTAACCTGGGAAGTCTCTGGTCCCTGGGAAGAGGGAAGGTACACGTCCTGGGATGGTTGGGGGGCCCTGTTTTGGGAGACAAGGGAGTAGAGGGTCTCTCTTGGGCCCCCCCAGACTCCAGCCTAAGCAGTGGAGCCACCCACTGCCACAGGACCCCACCTCAGAGAAGTGCAGCGGGAAGGAGGCTGGAGGTGGTGCGGCGCCGCCTTGGGTGTCGCGTGAATGAGTGTGGCCAAGGACTGGTGCCGCCTCATGGCAAAGAGCTCCCACGATGTTTGTTAGAGCGCACATCCCTACATGCCCACTGGCACACACACATGCTCACACACGCCCACATACAGGCATACACGTGCACGCTTGCACACATGCACACACATGTGCACACATGTGCACAGACCACACGTGTATAGACCATGCACTGTACACATGCGTGCACATTCCTGCATACAGGTATACACATGCACTCTTACATGCACACACATGTATAGGTCACACACAGTACACACATATGCACAAGTACACAGACCACACACAGCACATACACACAGACCATGTGCACACACAAGTGCACAGACCACATGGCACACATGCACACACACACACGCATGCGTGCACACTCCTCCCACCTCCAGCATTGGAGCCCTTTGGTCTCTGGTCGTTCTCTTTGACCCTGCTGGGTTTAAGCTGCCTAGGGAGGGGCTACAGGGAGTAATTGTGGCTTTAGGGGTCGTGGTGATGCCGGAATGTCAAGCCCTGTGGTGGGGTTCCTGGTCCACAGTGGCAGAGTGCCAGGCAGAGCCCAGTCAGGGTCTTGTGCTGCCCCCGCCCACAGCCTGGCAGCCATCCAGAGGAGGGGCTCTGTCAGATGCCAAGGTGTCCCAGCGTCCGTATGTGTGTTCATCCGGGTCCTGTGTTTGGTCTGCCCTGGAGGTGCTGGGCCCTCCTGGGATGGGTGGCCCAGCCTGGAATCCCAGGCCCTGGCCCAGCCAGGCACTGCTGCCCGTTGTGGTTTCCTGGCCCAGCTTCTCCTTCTTCCTCTGTGTAAACTTGCAGTCTGTGAATCTTCCAGCTGTGACCGCGGCTGGGACACGCTGGGGGAGGGCGCCTCCCACGCCTCCCACGTCTCCCACGCCTCCCACGCCTCCCACGCCTCCCACACACAGCTGTCTGAGCAGGGCAGGTGCCCGACATCCCCCACCGGAGGACACACTGCCCCTCAGCGATGCCCCTAACTTTTGGGGAACCTTGTCTCAAGCCCCCACTTGGAGGCTGGAATCGCCCCAGACATGTGAGGGCTTCTCCAGGGGCACCTTCTGAGCTGTGGGTCTGATCACCCCAAGTCCCGCCCGGAGGAGAGGCACAGCCAGGGCTTGCGTTTTAACATTTACCCCCTTCAGGGCTGGAGGTCACAGTGTTTCTAGATTCCAGACCCTGCTGCCGGAGAGACCTGCTGCTAGAGAGAAGGGGAGGAAGACCCCAGCTGGGCTCGGTCCCCCACAGTCAGGGACCCCCGTAAAGGACACCCTCTTCTTTCTAGAAAGAACTGGGCCCTGAGCTATTTCTAGTCGCTTCCTAGAAGCCGAAGGAGCCGTGAGAGCTTCGCAGAAACACCCTTGTTGTCCCCTCCACCCCGAGCTGTGAGTGCCGTACGAGTGGAGGCCGGGGCACTGGCAAGATCACAGGTGGACACTGCACAGCCCCAGTGACACAAATCCTTACAGCAAACGTGGTGTGAGAGGGATGGCTCACCAGGCTTGGACCTGCCGTAGAGGGTGCCTGGCAGGGGGCTGAGCTCTGAGGGGTGCGCGCTCAGTGCACGGGTGCCCCCAGTGTCCTCTGACCCTGTCCAGTGCCTCCCCCAACCCCCACACCCATGCAAAACTCCCAGGCCACATGTATGTATGTTCACGGCATGAGGGTGGGGTGGAGAGGCCTGGTCAGGGCCTTTGGGGGCTGCAGGATGGAATGACCACCCGGGGAGCCTGTGTGGCTGTGCTGGGCCAGCCATCCTGTGTTCCCACCCAGTGGGGCAGGCTCCACCTCGGCCCCAGCAAAGCGCTCAGGAGCAGGACAGACAGCCAGGGTGGCTTCCTGAAGGATGTGGGATGGTGGACTCCGGGGTGGAGGGAATACCCAGGTTCCTGTCCCTCCGGGAGACCTGGAGAAGCTGCACACCCAGAAACTTTCCGTGAGCCCGGGAGCATGAGTGAATGGGGGTCCCAGTTTGCTGAACTTTGCTGTCTTGTAAGGGTGGGGGCTGATGGCAGATCCGGGAGGAGGTGATGTCACTGAGGAAGTTGTGGAAAACGGTGGAGGAGAGACGGGAAAGGGCCGCTTGGGAGGGAGGAGCCTCTTCAAAGTTTTAAAAGGCATTTGTGGGGTGGGGTTGAGTGTGCTCTGGGCTTGGACACTTGCTGTGGTGCCCCTGGCTGGCCGAGGAGACTGGCTCTGGCCAGTGGCCCCGTCCTGAGAGGTCCTCAGCATCTGACTCTTGGCCAGGCACCAGCAAGGAGGGGCCGGTCCCCAGGGCTGCCAGGCAGGCGCATGCACATCGCCATATGCCACACGCCAACTCTGCCTGGGTTTTACAAAGTCGTTGCCTTAATGCATGTGGACAGGAACTCCCTGAGGTCACCCCATGCCCCCTGGCTCTGCCAGGTACGGACGCCCTGGACCCTGCCTCCAGGTGGGGTGGGCAAGGGGCCCAAGGGATGGGCTCCAGAGACAAGCGCAGGGCAGGAGGGGTCTCACGGAGGAGTCTCGCACTGGGCGCCCAGAGTGGGCGGTCCCGCTGGACACCATCCCTCTGCCTGGGATCCACTCAGCCCTCGCGCGCCCGCCATGCCCGCGCCCCACGCCATTGCAGTCTGCCATCCTCTGGCCGTGACGGTGGCTGCAGCTTCCCCATTTGCGCCGTTGCCTCTGGCTGTCTGCACTTTTGTTCATGCTCCAAAGAATATTTCATAATGCCTTCAGTACCGACGTACACTTCTGACCATTTTGTATGTGTCCTTGTGCCATAGTGACCAGGCCTTTTTTTTGGTGGATGTGTTACCCCGCACACTTCAATCTCAACTTTGTGCACCGTCCGTTTTCTAGGGATAGATGCCCAGGGAATGAACTCTAGTTTTCTAACAGATTAGCCGAGATATTAACTTACACGGACAGGTTGATGCCAGAGCCACAAGAATGCGCCAGTGCGGGTTTGTGGGGGACGTCGGATGTGGGGTCCTGCGGCCAGGAGGGCGGTGGAAGGTTCTGGGGATCCCTGCTGCCACGGGGACGAGTTCGGACACCAGGTGGACCTGTGCACTCAGTAAAACGCAGTGATTCAACCTGGACAGTGTGTGGCCTCCTCAGTCCCACTGTCTCTGGGTGGCCGGTCTGAGGGCCGGGGACTTCTGGCCGATGCTGGGGCTGGGTCAGGTGCGGTGCTGTGGACCGGGTGTGTGGACGGATGGTCCCTCTCCTCAAGGCACGAAAGAGCTGGGGTGTTGTGGAACAGTGGGGCTGGGGGCCACAGTGGGTGAGGAGCAGGGGCAGCCAGGTCCTAGGGCTCTGGCCAGAGGAGGGGCCACTGTGGTCCCTGGGCTCTCTCTGGGGGTGCCGAGCTCTCCCTCCCGTCTGAGGCCTGCAGCCACCCAGACAGATGCTGGGGCCTGGGCCTGCTCCTGGAGCACCTGCGGTCCATCAGCTCACCTGGGCAGGATCGCCAGCCACCACGTGTCCACTTGGGTACCTCCTGTTGTTGGCCTGGCCCCCCATCTGCTTGTCTGTCTCCCTGCCCCCACTCCCTGCCGACATCTTCCTCTGCCCATCTCTGGCCTCTGGACAAGCTCTTCTGCCGCCCACGCTTGCTGAGGCCCTCAGCTGGGGAGCTCTGTGGCGAGGCCGACATCCCACCTGGTGACGAGCGCCTTGTAGGGTGATTTATGCCCCCACACAGGGCGCAGGTGTCCACCCGCCCACGCTGCCGCCTTCCTGCTGTGACACTGAGTTCCTTGGGGGCTGCTGGGTGCTTCTCCACACCTGCGGCTTCTCTCACAAAGGGGGCACATTTGCAGGAGCCCCCGAGTGTTCCAGTCTGAAGAGGACACGGGGACAGGGGCATGTGTGAGGGTCTGGGAGGGGCTAGAGGGGGCCATGGTCAACATGGTGATGGGAAACAGGGTGGGGGGACCACCTGAACAAGGGGTCTCCAGGGGAGCTGAGGAGTCCCCTGTCCAGGGCCAGCCAGAGAGTGAGTGCAGAGCCCCACCATGAGCTGGGCCTGCAGGGGCCTCACTAGGGATGGACCTCACGCTCCCCTCTTGGGACGGACCCCACGGCCCCTCCAGGGACAGACCCCACACCCCCTCCAGGGACGGATCCCACGGCCCCCTCCAGCTGGTGGCCAAGCCTAGGATGCCTACCTGGTTGCA